TTCGTCAAAAACCGGCTCTCGACATAAACAGACGCGAATACATAAGATAACAGGTTCTCCTTGTCTGAATTGTCAGACAACGTACTTCCCTGGCAATCTTTTAGACAGGGAATGCAGTCCCGATTGCATTTCGCACTCTCCACCAATCCTAACACTATTTTGAATTTTGTGAGATATTTTTGAATATTTTTCTCAAATTAAGTTCGTTCCCTCCTCAGAATAATCCGACATATATTCCTTTGTTTCTTGATATCAAGCAAACACTCATGTTGTAGACGTCCAGCGTACTTTTTCTAAGTCTACATTTCAATCCAAGGCTCTTCATACACTTTCCTTCCATGCTACTGCATACCTATGAATATTCACGGCTCCTCCCTTCTTTAGGGATCATTGCACGTGGTGTGATGGCCGACATCCGCGTCGTTAATTGCTGCAATTTCATCAGGTGCGTTGGATGTTGATGTGATGATTGCTCGACCATCTGGCGCGTTAACCGTCGTGTTGGGAAAAGTGTTCACCTGTGCGCTCCCCGCGTGGTCAATTACTCCGCCTAGACGAAGTCTCAGCACCAAGTATGAAATGGGAAGATCATTGCACTTGTTAATTGACTGGGGGCCAGTAAACCATGACTCAAGCAGCTCCCATCCCACGCGGTTATCACCTTTTGTGAGAATTTAGGCCGCATCTCAAGAGCTAACGTTATTTCTCCACACCGCTGCAGCGTGTTCGGCCATTCGCTTTTGGAGCTGTCTTCCGGTTTCTCCGACGTAGTTGCTTTGTCCGCAACTGCGCCAGATCCGATAAACGACTTCAGAGATTTCTTGCCATGGCAGTGGGTCTTTTAATTTAATCAACTGACGCCTGATGGTTGCCTCCGGCCTGTGTGCAACTCCAACCCCAAGTGGTGCGGGAAGGCGGCCGATAGCTCCTGAAACGTTCTTGACACATGGAAGCGCTCGCCAAAATTTGGTGTCCGTGCGTTTATGCCTTTCGTCCCTTTTGCGTATGCACCGGTTGTCGAAGTTGCGCGGGTAGCCATTCGCCTTGAAAACCCGTCGGAGGTATTTCAGTTCAGCATTCTTGTCTTCCGGCTCCCTGCAGTGTGGTTCGACACGCCGATAGAGATTCCTTACATAACTGGGTTTGTGGCTGATTGGGTGGTTGCTGTTAAAGTTCAGTACTTGCATCGTATTTGTCGCCTTCCTGAACACATTGGTCTTTAATCACCACAATCATTGCGTCATACGAGGACATCCAGGAAGGCCAGATGGTTATTTTCTTCCTCGTCCATCGTAAATTGTATGTCCGGGAAGTCCGCATCCATATGGTACTTGAATGCCAGTAGTTGATCCCGGTCGATCACGACGAAGGTGCCATCCACATGCCAGGCCCAGAACTTCGGTCTGTGGTTTTGGAGGACCAGCGACTCTAACCGTCGCGACACCGCCTCGGCGATGAACCCCGAAATCGGCGAACCCATTGGTGTGCCCTTCATCTGTTCGTAGATTGTCCCATCGAACACATAGTACGTCCGGAGGCAGAACTTCATCGACCTGAAGGACTTGGGCGCGTATCTGCTTTGTCTCTGATGATGGGTTCGAGCAGGAATCCGAAACCTCCGACTAATAATGCTTTTGTCCCAGCGATCGTGTCTCCTTCTTCAAGGTCTAGTCAATGTCCGCGGCCAATACTTGCTCGTGCTGGCCATCCGATTGTTCAGCAAGTCTCCATCGTTGGAGTGTTCCGCACACGATGGTGCCCTCCATGCGCACAGCATTATCCCAGTAAAAGATCAGAAACCCACGGAAGAGTAAATAAACCTCACATACGGCACACCATCCGCTAACGACTTGGGACCCACACTAGCAAACCTAATCTGACCATCCGCCGACAGTATTTATTGTCTCTCGTGTCTGTGCAGGCCCGCTATTATATGGACTGTGATGGCCAGTTCTAATATAAAACAGGCTCGAGCATTTCTCGAAACTGGGCATTCCGACGCTGACAACATCAATCGCCATTCCGACGCGGACGCACAGTACGATGATCTGCCGTCACGGATTACTGACTTGCGCCAACCGTGACACCGCAGCCACTAGCCAATGCCCAGTCATGTAGAATCCCATGGAATCGACACCTTCCCAACACGATGAACAATAGTTGAAATACTCAATACCACCTATAAATTCGGGCATCTATCAGAACACGTCTCTCACTACCACATATGGACTTCCGCTTTCGATGTAACGCTGACGTCCTCTAACGCTTTTGGGTAATTACCTCGTTCCGCAAAGTTCATTTCATCCAATGATAATTCACGATCACGATAAGGTTTTCCGATTAGTATTCTCCTTTCATTGTGTCACCTCGGAATGCACACCACCTCCGTTAATTGATATATTTTCGGGCATTATGCGTTTATTTCAATTTAGTTTATTTAAGAACGACAGTCAGTGCCTCTGGTGTCCCTGTCGAGAAAAGTGCGCAAAACATTCAACTGCAAATTAAAATGCTATAATAATGTTCTCAGTAGAACATGCGCTTTACAGGATATTGTTTCTGAAATTGCGGGACTACGACCCGGGGACCCGCAGTGGCAGAGGATAATGTTAAGAAGGGAGTAATAGTCATCCGTATTAGCTGTCAACGTATGCAAAGTAATGATTTGGCATAAGAGAGTTGTCTTGTCTAGTTAAGCTGCATTTTTCGAGTAAATATACATCTTGTCTTTATCTTAATGTCCCTCTTGAGTCCGCCATTACCACTTTCCCATGAAATTCGTTCCTGGCACCGATTAATGTTTGCGAAAGATTAATCGACGGATAATGGCAACCGGTTGGTGTACGACGCCCACGTTGAGTGACCTTAGCATACGGTCAGTAGCTCCGAAGAGGTTCGTCGTGTAGGGCAAGGCACGGAGTACTTCTGATTTTTGGTTCGGCCCACCGTCAGTATTTGTGTGCCTTTGGAACAAGCATTTGTTTACGATCCTACCTGAGTATCCATTGGCAAGAAAGAGGTGCCACAAGGACGCATGCTCTTGTAGCTTCTCGGCCTCTGTGCTGAAATGCGTGTTGACGTGGAAAAGTGTCCGAACGTAACCGCGTTTATGCGACAGAGGTGGTTCCTGTTGTAGTGGTGTATTATCTCTGTGTTTGTAGCTTTTCGGAAAACACCGGTCTGGAGGGTTCCATCTTCTTACCTCCAGTGGGGGAGAAACAATGTCAGCGGTAGGGAGGGAAGGGACACCGGTCATATTTACGGACAAACGATCACACCAGACCCATTCGGGATCCGCGCCAAAGTGACCAAGATTAATTCATACGACTCTAGCAAGTTTGTGGTGCGTTACAAGGGAACAGCTTTGTTTTCAGGTGTGATAGTGTTTGTGCTCATTTTCTGAAAGAGAGAATCCTCGATTCTGCTCAGCAGAATCATTACGTTATTTTACCATATTTGCGTTACAGTCCACAGTTTAATTAACATTACGCAGTCGGCCTGCTTATTTCGATTTAATGTCTTGATTCTTGGGAGATCCTGCCAAGGAGTAATGGACTTGTGGAATTCACACCATCTAAAGCTACAGGAGAATAGCGTAATTGAGATATTGAATAGAAAGAAGATGAAGCGTGACCACTGGGACAGAACGTGCAATAGTCTGAGCTTTTGGTCTCATACAGGAGGCCATCGTAGAGACTGTGAGAATGCGGAGTCCAAACAGCAGATTTGTAGTAAAACAAATAAGGGGAGATAGGAGAGCAATGGGTGGTTTTCGCGGTAAGGCTGAGTCCACGCCGTCTCACGGCGGCGTGACTGCGTGCACCCTAAACTGTGAATTTGGCCTCGCCTCTTGGCCGCGGAAACGGAGCGCGTGATAGCAGGGGAGCATATTAACGTGTCTGTTGATGGGCCCTTGCGCGTCACAAATATTGTTTCAACCACACAGATTGTTAAGTTGAAATCCGCGTAATTCTACATTATACTGGAAAGTACAATACGCCGCTGGCAAATTACACGCACATATTTTTAATGGGTTAAAATTAAGGCGGGACAATTAGACCTCCGGTCTCGCGGTTGTTTGTTTGGCGGACTTCGCAGTCGTTAATTCTCGTGCGGCAGTAGGCGCGCAAATGAGTTCAGACATGTTACCACTTAAAAAAACAATCTTAACTGCTACTTCTGAGTGTATTCATCAAGAAGGTGCTGAAAAAATTCTCTAACCATTTAGCTGCCGAATATAATCAAATGTTTCAGCGATTTTGTCTCTTGTCTGGTCTCAACTTTTCTGATTCTCCGATACTTGAATGCAAGCTCAGTAAACTTGTAAAGTCGCTGAAGAAAATGAACTGTAACACACTGAAGATCCCTGAGTACCCCATTTCTGAGCTTTAGTCGAAATTTAGGCTCAAGGCCGCGTTGTCAAGACTGCACACCGCCGAGGACGCACTGCGGGTTGATTTGGAGGACCTTAATCGAGTCTCAGCTCAACTGCGTGACCTATCCGTCAACTCGAAAAAGCATTTGTGCTCATTCAGGAAGTACGTTCGGAGCCACCTTGGACTTTTTATTTCGCGTTCGACTTCTGTCTGTCCTACATTCGTAAATCTACTCGTTTTGGTCGAAAGGATGGCAGTTATGCGTAGATCTATCAGGTTTTTTACAACTGTCAAATCGGGCAAACTTTGTGATAAAATGGTTTAGTATATCAAAAACAAGAGTCAGAAGATGACTGTCAAACAACTGCAAGCCTACTTGACGTTTTGGCATTTTTTCTCATCTGGACTAGAGCATTGACCCAGTTTTTCATGGTGTTTCGATCGAAACAGTTGTAACCGCCGGCTAATAAGGTGATGGTATCCAGGTCAGTATTATCCGAATACCGAACTTGGCCATTTCTGGCCTTTTACGAAGGCCTAGAGGAGCTGAATTGACGGATTTTGTGCGAGGCGGGATTTCAGCAGTATGTTCGACGAACCTTAGCAGTGAAGAAATAGGACAACGCCTTAGGAGACCGGAAATCATAGCGAACAATTACATTGCTGCTGATGAAAATACCGTACGAAAAGCGAATAGGAGTAAGGAGGAGCTATATACCTCAGATGTGAGCTGTCTGCGAAAAGCAGTAGCACATGTGATTTCGGATGAGATTTGACGCTGTAGTTTTCAAGGACCGCAATTCGCAGTAGTATAAGGCGCTCGCCCCTGTATATTTATCGGGATCTTCGACGAATATCGCCTTTGACAATGTGCCACAACGAACGACGCGTATGTTCGGCCAATGACCACACCATCCGGACAGACCGGTAGCACAAGATTGTCTTCTTAGTTGAAAATAGACCGTTGGAGCTTTAAATTATCTCGTCTGCATAAAGACCTTGACCCAGTAGTAGATGTCCGTGTGGAGGTGGCCATGTGATGACACAGAGAACTTTTGTTCAGGACAAAAGTTAGAATGGGTGTTTCTGTATGGAAAGCAGTCGTACATCATGCACTTTCTGCTCAACTCCTACCCTTCATGAACTGACACAGCGTTGGACGTGTGGCGTTTCAAGGAATCAACTATTATACGCACCACTGATAGATCGAAGATGTGTTTAGGAAGTAGTCACATTGAGGCAACGGGGCTCTCTCTCTCTGAGTCCGAGCATAACGCAATCGGGAATCTGTTGATAATAAGTGTACTCAGCAGATATGGAGTATCTTTAGTTTAATTTGTAACATGAACAAAATCTATGGTGAGATTCTGAAAGCGAAGTGGAGATCTTACATCCTTTTAGAACCATGCGGTGATGTTACAATGTGAACGGCTTTACAATAGTGTGACAGGCACTTGCTGACCGTCATTAGCATTACCTCAAATTTTGTTAAACTATGTTGTGATAAAACTTCGTGCGCTTGGAAGTTGCCGCTTGTTTGCTTTCTCACAAAACCGCGATCAACCTACGCGGAGTTGCGGAAATTTAATGTGAAAAGCCAACGACTTTATAGTTGCGGGCGTGGCTTCTCATTCCGTGGTTACTCATCTGTTTTAATCGTCCTCCCATGCGGCCAGTTTTCATGTTAATGTCGATTTAAATCTGTCTAACTGCGCACGCCTTGTGTATTCTTATCTATTTCTGTTTTCGAAGCCTATGAATTAACAGCCTTTAATAAGTTTATCGGCAGTGCAAAAAATAGCTAGGTTCAGCGTCTTTAACTTTTCATTTAAGATCTTTACGGTCCTGTTTGTAGCGCGCTAACTTTGCCCCAGTTCTGCGAAGAAACAGTGAAGGGAAACGTTGAAATCCTCCAGGACGCAGGCAATATATTAAGCGACGTTACCACTCTTGGGGGAGACTCCAAGGTACAAGCAGTTTTACTTTTATGTTCAACATTTCAGAGTGTTGCACCCACGGAAGAACTACCTGTGTTTTTTGACCCAAGCGCCTTCGAAGTACTTCGCTCAGTAAGTGTCTCCCCCTGTTACCTCATTTGTCTTCGTTCAGGAAATCGCCGTGGCTCGTGCTAAATTACATTCTCTAGAAAATCGTTTGCATCAGTTCGGAGGACTTAACACAGTAATCCTTCCCATTTTGCATTTTAATTAGTAAAAAGGATTTAGAAAAGGCCCGAGTAGAGGTCAATGAGCAAGAGGAAAAACTGGTTAGTTATTTTTTTTCAAGTAAAGCCTTTGCTTGTCTAGATGCGGATGCACTTGGAACTACCTCAGATGACCAATTACTACGGATGGAGTTGATTTCCGCTTACTTTGTTGGTGTTTCTGATCCACTTTTCAGTGGTGTAATTATTTTTTTTACTGCAGTCAAAGCGTATTTGTATATTCTATGTTTCCAATATACCCTGCTCTTCTGGTCCCCCCAATCGCCAAAAGGTTTGATGATCGTGTAACACCCATATAGTAGAAAGGTACATGATCGACGCCCAACTTCACAAAACGAACTTACGTTTTCATGACTTAGCTTCACATCACCGTAAGCGGTTGCCTTCTATTGTGGTCGGCCGATGACAAACTCCGGAATGCAGTTGAACCAGTTGTGTTAGCAAGCCAGCCTCCGAGGCTGCGAACCCAGAGATGTGGTCAGGGTCGGCCTCCAACTCGTCTACCCATATCTTACGTTGGCCACTTCGATGCCCTTGCCAGCCGAGGTATCATCACAGTCAACTTCTCCTTCAGATGGCCATAATACACAGTTGGGCCGTCTCCATCGATAAGTAAGTAGGGCACAGTTTACGAGTAATATGCCCCATTGGTCGTCCCAGGTGTGCTCACCATGGTGAATACGCTGGATGGAGCACGAGCACCGCGTTCGATAAATTCCAGGCGATTGTGTATTCGCGGCTCATTTCTGTAAACGAGGCAGAGGAGGAAGAAGATGCGATCACCGGAACAAGAAGTTTATTGGCCTGACGTTTCGGGTTTTCACTCGAACCCGTCATCAGAAGCAGTCGTAGATAAGAGTAGAGAAGGCACAAAGACCAGTATTTATAGGAAGTAGCTGCCATGAGACCACGTGCGTGCTATAAATAACAGTTCTCGCGATCGCCTCTGGGGGTCGAAATTGATGCGATGGTGGCTCGTCAGTCTGCATCCGGGTCGTTAATTGCTGCCATTTCATCATCCGTGTTGGATGTTGGCGTGATGATTATCTGGCAGTTTGGCCCGCTATCGCTGGGATTGTTGCTCGTCCGCGCCCTCCCCACGTGACCGATTCTCCGGCGCAGAGCGGCATCCAGTGTAGTAACGGGAGCTCATTGTGCAGTGACGGATGATGAAATTGCGGCAATTAGCCACTCGGACGCGGACTGACAAGCCATCATCGCACTAATTACGACCCCCAAAGGCGATCGTGAGAACTGTTAATCATAGTACGCATGTGGTCCCACGGCAGCTACGCCCTATAAATACTGGACAGAGTAATTTGTCACACAAGCGGCGCTCGGGTGATTAGTGCTGCGAATGACAGAACGGAGTGATTATTATGCCAATGGACAACGTTGGGGATGAAATTGCGGCAGTTAGCGACTGGGGTGCTGACGATCAAACAATCACTTCATCGAGTACGAACGCCTTCGATGGGTGCGGGAATTGTTAGTCGTATTATGCGTAGTGCCTGTTGCCGCCACCTGCTCTCACTGGTTATGGGCCAGAGAAGTAACCAAAAGTGTCAAACAATTAAAATTCTTGTTTCTGTGATCGAGTCTCTTCCTCAACTGCCTCACAGAGCTCACCTTTTACCTGGCATTATAGCGGTACTCGCCACCACCTTCAAATTATTCAGTAAGTTTGGCGGTGCTGAGAATCAATATGCATTCGCGGTCAGTATGGGAGTAATACGTAGAGTCCGCTTGTTTTGAAGATGCAGACGACCTAAATCTCTCAGGCCGGGATAGACGAAGTTGGACTGTTCCCATAATCCATGCTCAGATACCGATTTCGACGGCCTTCATGTATCGTATTTGTCGTCCACAGCAGTTCGAGCGAATTCATATAATCAGTTGATGTCTAAACGATCGTTTCTACAACCGCTAGCAGTTAACCGCATTCGTGAAAAGTAGTTTTCAGACCAACTATGACACCAGTTCAGTCCAAATGCTAATTCAGGCTGAAACATAGATAAGAAATGGTCATGGAGTCAGATCGAGAAGACAAGTAGAGCTGTCGTATCACAGGAATTGATGATAAATTACCGAGGTCGATCTATTGCCAACTTGTCATGGTAAGGAATAACTAGTCAGTAGAATGAAAGATGAAATGACGATTTTGGGAAATGTTGTTTCTGACATTGGACCTTGGAGTACGGCTTGAGAGAGTTCCGTACGTGATCTGTCCAGAGGCTCGTCAATTTCCGATCCCCTTGGCAGCAATGTCTGCAATGTGATCCAGTATCCTCTGAGCGTAATGTTCCGCAACACGTTTGTTGTGGCCCGAGACGTCGCGATGAATAATATGGAGACATTGAGGTTCTTCGTCCAGCCAAACATGCTTGCTGTCTGGTATGACCTTCCAACTACCATCCCACACCTGCTCACAAAAGTCCTTTGCGCTGGGGAATACTAGTTCGATTGGTTGGCAAGTCAGTCCGGCGTGACATTGGTTTGTACCTTCGGAAATAGAACGGTCTACAATCAGAATATAAGTAGAACATACTCGCACTGCCACCAAAGTAAAACCTATGAAGCCCAGAATGTCCATTTTCAGCTCATCCGTCAGCAATGCTGCAGCCCCGGGATCGAACAGTCTGGGACTAGGACCCGTATTCTGGTCCTGGAACGTTAAGCCACGAGTTTTTCCCGGCCGTTGCAACCGCGATTATTAGTTTACGTGGAGGAGCCGCTCGCAGATTTAGCTGTGGTAACGAAAATGCTCGCTTCGCGCTACCTTGGGGCTTTAAGCTGGTTCCTTCGTGAGCAGTCGTACAGCTAAAATGGGGAGAAGGAGTAACGACGAAGACAGGGAAGATTGGAATGGCTTTTTTTTGGGCTATCAGCCGCCATCACTCAGTCATACCAAGACCCCAAGTTCGGACAGCGCAATGGCCAGCATGTCTCACACTAACTGCATCGGTGAGCGGCCCTTCCACGTCAATACCAGCAGTACTTCTTTTTTTATTACTACTGACAGTCACGTTATTGGCTGATCGAATCGGTACGGTTTAGTCTAAAATATCTACGTCCTGGCGGATTATATATCTAATGGGTACTTTGACTGAAATATGGTGCAGTTGAGGGCTCAGGGAGTAGAATGTATTCTCTTGCACCTGTAAGGAGTGCCGACAAGCCGATCAAGGTTCGTCATTGGCAAGCACACCTAGAGCGCCTTCTTAGGTTCAGCGAATAACTACTTACCGTTGCTCCTTGTGAAGCCTCGTGCGGACCTCCGTCAGGGGAATAGATCGAGCCAGCGAAACAAAAGGCCACCGCAGAGGATGGCAGCTCTGCTAGTTCGCAAACGTCAGGCGTCCATAATTGTTGCCTTCCCACCTTAGATTTTAACCCAAGGAGGACTGTTTTAGATTACCAATAGAGATCGTCCAGTAATTTCCTGACGAGATTCCGCCTCGATGACAAATTAGGGCTTGAGATATTTCGCCCCTGACATACTGTTGATTGATCAACACCGGTGGTCAGTTAGACATGCGAGTTAGTATTTTCTTCAAGTGACAGATCTTCCTCTGTGAGGATTCTTTTCCATATTTTGTTCCCACATTCTTGCACTTTGAAAGTAGATTTTTTCCTATGCCAGCCCTGTAGTACTCCTTGTCGGTCGATATTGGTGAATTTACTACGTTTCCAATCAAGGGGAGATAAGATGACGAAGGATTTATCTAAATGACAATTTATTGAATTCCCCGTGCTCAACGGTGGCCAAAGACAATTGCATAGGTGGACGACGATCTCGATTAAACGGCGCTATCGATAGGAACCGCCATCCACCCATGCTAACCACAAGTACTCGTTCCATTATGATGTGTAGAAAGCATGTTTATCGAACCGTCGCAGTTGAATTACTAAGATAGCAGGGTATCTGGTTTTGATGATATAATACTAAGCAATCACCTCACGAGAAATCAACAATGTTAACAAGGTCTGAGTAGCAAATGAGCAACACTGGGCTTAATAGGTGAATTGGGACTGCAGAAAGCTATAAGGGTATTCGGAGTATGATGCGTTGGAGACTGAAAAAATTAACTACCAAAATGTTGAGGTGATGCCAACTAGTCTTACCAAATGTCAGTTGCTTGAGGGCGCGTTATGCTAACAGTTTTATTCCATTTGTTTTAAACATGCTTTTTGTAAGCCGTTTTCCCAGGTGGAAATATTCCAGGCTTCGATAACTGGCATAAAGGGTAACCAGTAACTTTAGAACTTTACACAGCCGAGAATTTTGAAAGCAAAGCACAATTGGAAGGCAGTTTAATTTATTTTGCTTCCGAATACGGTGCCAAATAATCTCTCAAAGGAAATACTCAAATTATCCACTAGAATAGAGCGACGGCCCTGTTTTATTGAAGTGGTACCTACGAAAGACTGACAGGAGTGGCCTGTTCTGACTTCTTTGTTGTCTACAGCCGTACTTATCGGTTATTAATTGATCGTGGCTATTCGACTGATAGAAAAGACTCTACCAGGACTCTAAGGCGGAACAGAACACTTCCCTTTCATCCTGCAATTAGGATAGGTGGATGAGGACGACATTACTATTTTGCATGAGTTGCTGCGCAAAATAGGTCAGGATGACGAATACGCGGACCAGTAGAACAAAATGTACAAAGTCTGAATTCGTATGACTTCTAATTAAGCTAAAGTAGAACAAGATACAAACGGCATAAGTAGCCTGTTCCACAGAAAACGCTTACTCAAATGGGTTTTTAGCTGGAAGAAATGATACTTAATTAGGAGAAACAACGGCAAAATTTTCGTAAGGACGGAGTCTCTGACAGGCAGTCACCAAGCGTGTCGGAGACGTACCGTACATGCATATAATAAATAGATCAACTGAAATGTCACAGAGTCAAACAATTAATCATCCTAAGTGTAAACGGGAAGTCTGAGACTGTAACCCGTGGCTGCGAAACTGACATGAAAGGTACGACGGTGACCAAAAAAATTAAAATGGCTGCCAATTAAAAAATAAAAGAAAACAGTAAAAGTTGCAATTTTCAGAAGGAAAGGAATGCATTATCCGCTGTAGTCTATGACACTTTATGTATAACAGCAGTTCCAGTTAAGGAACGAAATTCGCAGTTAAATTCTTTCAGCAGTTCATAGTGATAAGGTCCGATTCCTATTCGAGTTCACGACTCTGTTTATAGAAAGCTCATGCCGCAGTCCTCGGTGATCTCGGGGATTATAAATACCGCCGGCTGAATCGCTACACACCATGAGGGTTTTTAGTTTGGCTATGCAATCGACAGTTCAACGCACAAATTGGTGAATTGCATTTCGCATTGGAATGTTGCGACTTTTGAGGCCAGAAATGTATAGTGTGTACTGGAAAGCAATAAAAGTGCATGAAAGTAGTGCGCGAGTCTGTCTTTTGTGCATCAGACCAGTTTGTCTGAGAACGAAACTCTATTATTTTCGGATATCATCGTTTCCATCAAAGCAAACGCGGACGGTCCAAAGGGCGAACTTAAGATGGGGAAAATTTAATTAACATGCAAGTTCAAAAGCAATTATGTGCACACCTCCCTTATACAATTCGCAATTTTTCTCCCAAGGAGTAAAGCAGCCTTGGGCGTTGCTATTCGGCTTTACGGTCAGGATAATGACTTGCATTAAAAATAGGTCAAAACCTCACGACGGCAAAAGGCCGAGACGAAATGTCGCCTGTTGACAAGTATGAAATAACAGTTTGCATAAGACTTCCCGCGCAAGATCTCTATGGAACATTTTGCACCCCAATGTCATCAGATAGCAGCGTAGAGTTCGTTTATTGGTGGAAATTCGCAGGAGAAAAAAGGTTGGCACGCTCTATCAAGCTCAAAGTCCATGTTTACTTAATACCCGATTACATTCTAGTGCGCTGAGGAAAAACCGCTAAATGTAGCCAGCGGAAGTTTGCGCATTTGCTGTTCGATTAATTAGCACGGTAGATAGTTCTCATTTCCCGAATTTCACCGAATGCAGCTATAAGACGGAGCTTCCATTCTTAGCGTCAGATGGCACTTTCCAGGGTCTCATAACATCGTAAGAGAGCTACTCAGTCAGTCATCAATGTCACATCCTTACAAATAAGCCTTTTAAAGCCTAGTTTTTCCAGAGTATTGTGGTCTATTCAAAAAACAAAAGACGCTACAATATGCTAAAAATTCCAACCGTGTGCAAGGCTGTCTACTTAACCGTGAAAAATTAATAGAGGTAAAGTTCTACGGTCACATACCCGTCGTCCAGTTAAAGCCCCCTGCGCGCCAATTTCTTGCACAAGTTAGCCCTTTTTTGCAAGCACTGTACCAGGCATCACAGTCTGACTGGCATAGAGGCATTCCGTAGGCCCGTTCGGGGAAGCGCTTGCTATGAGTCTGGCGCAAATAAGTGCATAAGATCAAATCAAGTGTGCAGGAGCGTAAATACAAAGTATTCCACAGGAACGGCACAGTCAACCTCATTTTTGGCAGTGAAAAAATCACATGCTATCGGTTTTATTTTGAACTTTTCATATTTTTTAAGAACTAACTATAAAAGACAGTTAGTTATATTCATTTTGAGATTTGCTTTTTATCCCGTGGTCAGATTCTCACTTACCACGTGTGCATGCCCTCTACAAAGAGTTACGTGGAGTTGCGCTGAGCCAATACAGGGACAGATCAGGATACGCCACGCGTTATTTGGACTGCACACCCATGGAGATTTTGTGGCACACCTAGGCGCAGACCCATGTGGCACCAGCTAACTGCGCCCAATCCCAGAATCAGATGCCTGACTAGCACGAACATTCGATTGGCGCCTAGGGAAGGAAGGAGATAATGAAGTCGACTATGTGGACTGCGTCTCCACGATACTTGGCGCATATTCCTCACTACAGACAATCTGATGAGCTTAAATCTATCACAATGTGCCAAATGTCGTGGCTTGGCAGGCTGCCGACCAATGAGATAACTCCGTCCTCTCAGGACAGGGAGCAAGGCTACAATGGCTTCTTATAAATGTGGTCTCCGTCACTCCCAATTAAGCAGGGATCAGGGCCGCTTCTCTGTTGTTAACGTGGAAACCTGGTCCACCGTGCATGAACCGGGCGTGCGTAGTACGCGTTCAGTAGGTGGGCTAACTCATGAAATGTCAACTGAAATCCCAAAATGCGTTTTCGTCTCGAAATGATTAATTAAGTAGGGTTGTAAAATTAATTATCATGCAGCATAATTCTATAATAATTCAGTTACCGCAACATGCCAGCTTTCTAACGAGCTTCTTTTCGGCTGCATGCAAAAACCATACTCCGTAGAAAATGACTACTTAAGTAACATGCACTTTTCTCATTGATTTTCAATGCCCCTAACTACTCGACTGGACTTCATGGAAAGCATGCATAAAAATATTTATTCTCATGCTCATTCGGTAGGAAAGTACATCTGGTTTTAATTTTATACTCGAAGGAAGCGTATAATTCGGTGGTAAAGAACTTTTCCAATTCCCGAATAATTCTGAATCCCGACCTGCCGTTGAACTTACATTCAGGGTTTCCAAACTACAAGCCATACATTTTGCGCGTACGGAAAAGCATACATTCCTCTACGGTATTAAGAGGAGACCATATGGGGTTTATAAAATTTAGCAGTGGATGTGAGTCATAATGTTAATTTTATAAGCGAAATTGGTAAATGCAGAGTCATAACGTTTTATGAACGGCCATTTCACGGTATTAAACAATCTCCCAATTGGAAAATTTTTTTGAAACCGATTTATGCACTTCCTTCGAGTATAAAATTAGAAGAAGGTGGAAGTTCCTACCGAATGAGCAAAAGAATGAATATTTTCCTATATGTCTTGCATGAAATATAGTTGAGGTTTTATGGGCATCGAAAACCAAAGATAAAAATGCATGCTTCTTATGTAGTTATTTTTTACAGAGTATAGTTTTTGCATGCAGCCGAAAAGAAGCTCGTTGGAAAGCTGGCATGTTGAGGTAACTGAATTATGCTGCATGATGCTTAATTTTACAACCCTACTTAATTAATCATTTCGAGACGAAAACGCATTTTGGGATTTCAGTTGACATTTCATGAGTTAGCGCACCTACTGTAGGTGGACTGTTCATCTTTGTCAGCCATTGCACCCGATTCAGCCTCCGGTCTTTACGATTCTGTCTTAACACCCGGCCAAAGTGGATGAACAAGGAGTGAGTACGTTAAATGCAGCAAACATACATGGTCACCATGAACTAATTCACACGTAAGTCACCGTCCTTGAGCCAGTTATGTTATGGGGATCACGGTTGACATCGTCCTTTGCGACGGTCGAGCTGTCATCACACCTGTATTACTCGGTGTCCACCCATCACGCCGATGATCGTACTTGCTCCTATTGTCGATGTTCGACACGTTATATGGATAGATGCAATACTGAGTGTCGCTCACCAACATCGCCAACACAGTCGCAACAATCCCACCGGTGATAACATTTTCATGGTCGCAGGAGACGAGGTCATCCACAGTCAAACGAAACGAGCGCGGCCGAAACGTATATGCGGATCTGTTTGTAGTGGAGAAGGCTTGTTTTGCATTTATATCCCTCTCTCCACCTCCACAATCTACCATCTTCCAGTCGAAAACATAGACGAGAGTTGAGGGTGGATGAACTGGCTACCACAGAGAAACAGCTAGACAGCGTGTCCCACACAGACCCGGTCCCTACTCCTCCTTTAGCAGACTTCACCAAAAGAGTCTCAAAGCTTACACAAATGAGACTACCTCAACAGACAAATTAAAGTAGGTCATTGTAATCTGATCTTCGGTGCCAAGGAGGATTAAACCATCATAGCAGTTAACGTACTATTGGATTTCGAAGTACACAAACACACTATAGGGAGACAGCCTGTGAATTGCCATGAGTCTCCCTCTTTCCTCTCCTGAGCTCAACTGCGACCTATCCGCTACCCTCGCTGGACTGGTGATGACATTGGACTTGTTGCCGTTGTGGCACAAAGTATCGTTTTGCTCTAGCGCGATGAGGCAACAGACATATAGCGTGTATGACACACGAGAACAGAGGGCCGAAGTCCTAGTCACTCGCCGAAATCGATCTAATTTCGGAGCAGATTGACTCGGTCTTATCGGAGATAAAAGCTGAGAAACGAAAGAAAGTTAGAGAGGCATCTGTTGCGTCCTAGTCTTACCATGATAAACAGGAGGTGTTTTTAGCCATCAAAGTGCCCTATAAACTGTATCTTGGAAAGCTGACGACTATCCGGAGATTCAGTCCTGTAGTTTGAAGGTCAGGCTTCAACGAAACGCCCTTAACGTAATCTCTTATCAGATATGTGATGTGGAACTGAGTGAAGTCTGATCCTTGGGGTTTGAGGCACCTGCACACACATGGAACGCAAGAGACGGGAACAAATACTTGGACAGCAATAGCATCAAAACCCACCTTGAGTCTGCTTGGTTTGGTTGCGTTATTCAAATCCATACGAGCGACCGCTGTTTCTGCAAAGCAGTAGTTATCGTCATCCAGTTACTCAGACCATGCAGCAGAATCCCAACCTAAAGCAGTTGCAATTTGCAGGTCCTCCACCAACTTGCCCAATTCTCACACTTCTCGCGCATAAGATTTTAGCCAGATCCCATAGGGTGGACTGCAAACTGATATTCCTTGTGCGTCGCTCCGCGTTCCTTTACATATGCATGTGGATGAAGTTTTCTTCTCATCTTGTCAGTCCATATGTACCCTTTTTTAGGTACTTAGTCAGTTCGTTAATGTTAGATTTTTTTAGTTTCTGAAAAACAAGTGGGGATGCGCAAAATCTTGTCTCTGATTTGTTTTCGAAGTTTTCGCACACGTTTGTACTCCTAGCCAAAAGCCGACTTTGCGTAAACGTACTACGAGAACTCCCCTTATTTTGGTAAAGATGGTGTCAGTTTCAGACAAATTTGCATAACGAAGAAAATTACCCCAGTCAGTACGGAGGCTTTCCAACACGGAAACTCTATCTCAAGCGTGTGGTTGTCTTGTAAACCAAGCCCCGTTTTACGCGATGTCGAGCGAATATGCTAGATTCTTTGTGGGAGAAAGCTGTGATAGGCGTGGATGTAGTATCTGAGATGTGGTATTTGGCCGATGAATTTACAAAATAAAAGAAAGAGTCACGCATGGTGGCGGCTGATTCCCAAGAGGTCTTATAGCTATCTACGTAGAACATTATCTCCAATATGAGATAAACTGACAAGTTCGTCACATAAGAAAGCAAAATAACTTGTACGAGACTTATTGAGTATGAGTATTATAAATAATCAGGAGCCCTGACTGCAGTGTGGTTCACAGAAATCCTAGAACACTGAGATACGTAGGAAGTCTACTTCAAAAAACTCTTTTTATAGACCGAACAAGATATTCCAGAGCAGTTTCAATTGCGAGCGGCATGCGAAAGTGGCTCGTGGTCCCAGGCGGGCCTTCAAGGTCGCCTGCTGGAGAAGAGGGAGGTGCAATCCCCAAAAAACAGTGTTGACAAACCAGCTTTGAAGTTTATAACTACTCCTGTCTCCTAGTACTTGGCGGTGGAGGCCAATGAACTTCTCATGTAAATCAAGTACCTCGAAATGAAAAACCACCTTAGATATGTCTAGCTCATTCAGCTTCTAAAGTTTTGTTAAAAAACAAACTTCAAATTTGACGAAACAATCTGTAAGCAGGTGGAAGGCACACCAACGAGTTCGCCGATTTCGGGACACGTAGCAGAAGTGGTCATATAAAAGTTGAAGTTGTTGATCTGCCACATCACCGATGATAGGTTAGAGTGAGATTTCGAAAATCAAACGAATAAAATTCTTGTTTCAGCGAACATACATCCGTCTAAAGCGCTTACTGTAATTCACATCTTTGCCTTTATCGCCACCATCGTTAACTGATTACACGAAGACATGCAAACTAAGGACCAGAGTCATCAAATTCCTTCACCCAGCGGCTGTCAGTCAATACTCGCAACTTCAGAGATGAGTTCGATCAGCCCACACAGCCAGCAGCGACCGATAGCACACACATGGCCGTACTGCAGGATGTCATCCAAGACTCTTGGAATTTGACTAGCCAATCAAATATTAGTGGTCGTTCCAGTCGTCCTTATCTCTAATCACTTACCTTTTGCATCGGCAATATCCGCGAATGACCTCTTAGTTCTTCAAAAAGAGCGTCTTTACGATCGATCCTGGATGTACATTTTCGGCCTAGGCCCAAATCACAAACGCGGTCATATACCTGACCTGTGAATTTGATCCAGGCACAATATCCGTTATCCCTTAAAATTTCGAGTAGATTTGCTCAGTTTCTCATGTTTTATGACAGTCGGTGTCTGGATCTCGCGTATGGAACTAGCTAAATAATGACACAGTCGGTCTTTCGTTTCTTCTGTAATATCCCAGTACGATGTACGCATATTTTAGTCGCAATGTCGTGGGCTTTTTACAAAATCCCTCAACCGATCTTTTATGCGCTTCTTCACCTTCGTCATGCGCATCTAAAGTCTCGTCAAAAAATGGATCTCCAGAACTATTACAACATCTGGTTCCGCAACATTGTAGATCTTCTGATAAAACGAGATAAGTTTATAGGGTAACAACTCGAGAAATCTTACTTTTACGAGCCAAGGTCCCAAGTAGGGAGAACAGTAAGCATGACAGTACTCCCGATGAAACATCCGTGAGCATTCTAACGGCAGAGGTTGGCCACAGTGGTGTAGATCAAAGCCCCCGACTGCTTTCTCTAGATAGCCCTCACTCTTTTCTTTTGTACAGCAGGAGAGGTTTCGCCATTCAGCACAGTCCTCCAGATCTGGTTCCGGCGAGGGAGCGGACTTGTGGTGGGGGCGGTAGAGGCACATATTTAGATAATCTGAAACGGTAGCAACCTCGGTGAATCGATTTCGACTGCTTTCCACTTTAAAAGCGAGTATGGCCGAGACGAAGGCGAGGAGGTAGAGGGTGAGAACGGAGACAAAGGACATTCTGGGAGGGCAGAAACTGCGTTCACAAAAGGAGAAATTTGGTTTGGTGGCGGTTTTAATAAATAGAAAACGGAAGCAGTATGGAGTTTACGACGTTACTTTCACAGCTTTTAATAATTGCGGCAGTTTCTAAGGCTTTACAAAATCAAAACGATAACATAGGGAACCAAAATGTCGAACAAAGCTTCGGTGTATCTGTAATAACACATGACAATAAGGCTCTAGGTCAAGAAGTAATAGCAAAAGATAAAAAAGGATAGGTTGGGTAATTTTGGCTTATTTGCCGTCGTCGAGGGGCCACATGAGACATGACGCTCAGACACGGACTCTTAAATAAATCGGTCAGACGCTTCAGCATGTTTGCTCCGCGGGAATATTTAAAAGTGAATAACAATGACATTCAGCGCTGTATTCTGCTAGATGGGGCGAAATGGGCATGAATTGAAGTCATATTAATTAATGACGGCAACTAAGCCCGAATAAGTTTTATCAGTCTTCCCTGTTTTTATTAGTAATGCCTATTGGGTACCGATTAATGGCCCCTATATGTTGCTGTTTAATACAAAACTACAGCTTAATGCAGGCATAGACAGCAGAATGCACTGGAACCAGTAAATTTCGCGACGGCTTATCCACTGCAGCCTGCCGTTGCATAACACAGATAGCAAATGAGAAAGATACAAGGGTTTGAGCTTCCACAGAGAAAAGCAATATAAAACAACAAGGTCATCGTATACTGCACATAAACTAATCAATAAAATGGTAACTTGGAAACGCAACATAGGAAAGAAAATGGGGAAGTTAACACGCCGAGGGATTTCGTAAATCAAAAGGGCTCAGATCCACCAGAGCAAGCTGAGGTTGACCACGTGGTCTAACTGTTTACCTAGGTCGGGTTTCTCCCGCCGTAGGTAGGCTGCCTCCAGGTGGCGCAGTAACCGGGTTGTTCGTGCTCGAACTAATACTCGAAAAGATGTTTTGGGGTCAACCGAAAGACCGCTATCAAGGTGGTGCTTTGTAATAGAAGACCGTTGAATCTTATTCTCCCGCTTTAGAAGCCACTTAGACAGATGCTCAACCGACCTGGCTGCCAGTTGCCTTTGCAGCTCTTAGGTTAGACTAAATGTTCGCACTTCGCGCAATCGGCATAAATCTTTAACCGTTTTCCCGCTTGACAGCGGAGTTTTATTTGCACCAAACAGATTTCAGAAGCGACTGCAAGTGTCTTCCTGGAACACCTGTCTAGAGAAATAGAACCACATTTGTAAATAGTCAACGAACACTCAAGCACAAAAATAACAGATAAATACATTCATAGTGACCTGCACATATTTTGCAAAAATGTGTAAAACGCATTTATTCTTCAATGACAAGTACAAAATTCGTAAATAAATGTGAACATGACTTCCCAAAATGAAATATACGCACTTGTCCTCTAACGTAACTATTCTGTTGTCAATATGGTTTTTAAATTTTTGAACAAATTCGGTTGTTTAGCCCATCATCGAAATATACGCATGGATAACTGACAAACAAACAATTCAACATGGTACCTCATTTTAGAGCGAAAAAAATTGACGTAAACTTTGCAAGATTCCCTTGAGGAGTGCTGCGAGAGTGGAGTGTGAAGAAAAATAGTAAGAGGGAGATTAGTACGTTAAAATATAAAATATGTGATGGATTGGCCAATCTAGTAGAGGTCAGCGAACAATGTTACCACAGTCATGAAGGCATAGGACTGTACTTGTGCACATAGATAACTGATTAGGTCATGAAATTTTGTCGGTAAGCCTAGATTTTGAACTTGTGCATCTTTTAGGCTCGCTTGTTCTTTTCATACGTCCCGATCCATTTATGTGTCATTTTGTCTGGAAAAGAACTTTGACACTACATTTCTAACGCTTCCCTGCATAGTTCACTTCAATCGCATACGAAATGCTTCCAACTATATGTTTAAAAAGACAAGCATCATTCAGTTACGAACTCATATTTTCAAATGCTGGTACGGAGGCGGTCAATATTACCACAGATATTTCGCCAGCTAAAAGCGAGCAAACTGATATATACTTCTGCATTAAATCAAGCTCTAACAGGTCTCCCTCCCAACACAAACATAAAAACATTTGTTAACATACGATCATTCATTACCTAAAGCATGCAGTTTCACAATTAATCTGTCCAGTTTTATAAACGAAAGAGATGACAGATTTAGAAGAATCGCTGACTCTACTTAACCAAGACGCAGCGGCTGTGGTTCTCACGCAAACCCGAAAGTGGTTAAAGTAGGAAGAAGTCCGTCCATCTATCGTATAGGCGGTCACAAAATACTCTGAGAAACAACGAACACCGACACAAATAAAAAAGAAGATTAGTCGGCCGCATGTCAAGGAAAATAGTATTAGAGAGATATTTAGCGAGTATGAAAGAGGATCGAATTGTATTTGAGAACACAGTTCAATTCAAAAGATGTTACGGCCATATCCACAGGGATAGTGGAATAAACAGACAGTAATCATGCTGAAAAAAGCGAATGTATGTGTAAAAGTATGGTAAGAGGGTCACACCCACGCTCACATTGCCATTTGCCCCGAACGTACATAGGGTGACACCTGTTAAACCCGGAACTGGACCTCTCATCCAATGCTCACGAACACCCTCATCGAGGCATCAACTACAACAGCAGTTGTAAAAAAGCCATCGTACACAGTGTCCAGAGGCAAGTTGCTTAACCGTTATACAGAAAGTAGCAACATTTAAAAGTTTGTCTACGAATGACCACCCAGTCAGTTGCACCAGTATAGTGCATAAAATCGCGCGTAGAAACGTATATATTTATGTTTGTTATATTTACTGCCCTCTACATGTAAGATCATAATCAATGGCATTGCTTAAATGCAACAAAAACTTTGAACGGGCACCTAGACAGTAGGAAACAGTTGGGGCCAAATTATTAGGCAAAGCCTTTAACATAGATAACTGCCGAGTGATTATGAAGGAGCTTAATGATTGGTGTTCCAAACGGGTTTATGCTAATGCCGCTGCTTTTTTCATTCACAGCTGCCAGAATCACCTTCTAATAACCATCAGGATTCTTTTGATTAAATCAGGCTTTGGCCGACACACAACCATGATTCCATCAAGATGTTATCCAAAGTCAACCATAGGTAGACGAATAGGAAGCATGTGCTTGTATGCGCACAAAGTCCAGTTCCTCGTGGGTAACCAAGAATTAGTCCTAATCTCCACATAGTACTGAAGGAATCGATCAATAGATGCCTCGCAAACCCATTAATTATTGCTCCAGCCAGCATAATACTATTAGCTCTAGCTTCGCAATGGTGGTTATGGGGAGACTGACAATTCCCATTGAGTGCTGAAATCCACTTGTCGTACACTGCTCTATGAGCAACTACAAAATTCAAATGCAACGGCCAATAAAGTTGGGTATATGCTCGTCCGAGACAAGCCGCAATAATCCCAAATTTGTCTTATCTTAAGAAAGCGGCGTGTGTAGGAATAAGGAGTGCGGAAAATGTCGGACAAAGTCGTTTCACTATAAACAACTTTATGCCCATTCACGACTATGCCAAACTAATGTGACAACGGCACACCGTCACTTGCGCCTTTTTAGATTTGCTACAAAATTTTGTCCGTAAAAGGCATCTTTTCTCATAAAATGGAAACGCAACTATAAATCTAGTCTAAATTCCTAAATGCAGACCATCAAACTGCCCTCACCTTAAAATCCAGATCTAAAGTCAAGTCCTATCACTGAGCGGCCAGAGCTTAGTAATCTTATAAACACGACAAACATTTCACACTGCTTGCTGAGAAGAACCGTCTACACAAAGCCTACGTAGATCACCCCACTGATGCCACCAAAGCTGCCTTCTACCGCGGTCGCCGCCAACTTCAGCAACGACTGCGCGAGATGCAGGACGCCTGGACTGCTCGCAAAGCCGAGGGGATCCAAGGATACGCGGACCACAACGAATGGAAGAACTTCTTCTCTGCGATCAAAGCTGTCTACGGTCCGGCGGCGAAGGGCACTGCTCCTCTCCTCAGCACCGACGGCAACACTCTCCTGACTGAGAAGACGCAAATCCTGCAGAGATGGGCCGAGCATTTCCGAGGCGTCCTCAACCGCCCCTCCGTCATCTCCGACACCGCTATCGAGCATTTGCCGCAAGTGGAGACCAACGTGGACCTCGACCTCCCGCCATCTCTCCAGGAGACCATCAGGGCCGTGCAGCAGCTCTCCAGCGGGAAAGCACCCGGATCGGATGCAATCCCTGCTGAGGTCTACAAGCACGGAGGTCCCCTACTGATGGATCACCTGACTGCACTCTTCCAGGAGATGTGGCGTCAAGGTGAAGTCCCGCAAGATTTCAAAGACACAACTATCGTGCACCTTTACAAGCCCAAAGGGAATCGCCAAGTCTGCGACAAACACCGCGGCATCTCTTGCTGAACATCGCCGGGAAGATCTTCGCACGAATCCTCCTCAACCGCCTCAATAACCATCTCGAACAGGGCCTTCTGCCGGAAAGCCAATGCGGCTTTCGTGGTCATCGTGGGAACACGGATATGATCTTCGCCGCCCGTCAACCTCAGGAGAAGTATCAGGAGATGCGGACCCACCTGTGCTCTGCCTTCGTGGACCTGACAAAAGCCTTCGACACGGTGAATCGTGAAGGACTGCGGAAGATCATGCAGAAATTCGGCTGTCCGGAGCGATTCACTCAGATGGTGCGTCAGCTGCACGACGGTATGATGGCGCGAGTCACGGACAACGGAGCTGTCTCAGAGGCATTCGCAGTGACCAATGGAGTGAAGCAGGGCTGCGTACTGGCGCCTACCCTCTTCAGTCTTATGTTCTCTGCCATGCTGATGGACGCCTACCGCGACGAACGCCCCGGGATCCGCATCGCCTACAGTACGGACGGTCACCTCCTGAATCAACGGCGTATGCACTTCCAATCGCGCGTATCCACAACCACCGTTCACGAACTCCTCTTCGCCGACGACTGCGCCCTAAACACCACCTCGGAAGAGGAGATGCAACGGGGCATGGACCTAGTCTCCGCCGCCTGCGAGAACTTCGGTCTGGTCATTAACCCGCAGAAGACGGTGGTGATGCACCAACCGCCACCCAACTCAGCCACAGCCCCAAACGCGCCGCCGCAAATCAGCGTGAACGGAACCCAACTGCAGGTGGTGGAGTACTTCCCGTACCTGGGCAGTAATCTCTCCCGCAACACCAAGATCGACGACGAAGTCGCCAACAGGATCTCGAAAACCAGTCAAGCCTTCGGTCGCCTCCAAAGCACAGTTTGGAATCGTCATGGTCTCCAACTGAGCACGAAGCTGAAGATGTACAAGGCCGTCATCCTGCCGACACTACTGCATGGAGCGGAGACTTGGACGGTGTACGCAAAGCAGGCACGCCGTCTGAACCACTTCCACCTCAGTTGTCTTCGTCGCATCCTGAGGCTAAAGTGGCAGGATCGAATCCCCGACACTGATGTGCTGGAACGGACGGGAATCTTCAGCATCTACGCCATAATGAGGCAAATTCAGCTGCGCTGGAGCGGCCACCTGGTGCTCATGGACGACGAGCGACTACCCAAACGACTCTTCTACGGAGACGTCGCGACGGGTTCTCGCCGTCAAGAAGGCCCGATTCGCCGTTACAAGGATAGCCTGAAAGCCTCCCTGAAATGCCTGCAAATCAACCCGACCAACCGGGAGGAGCTGGCGCTCGATCGACCGACCTGGAGGAGGACAGTGAAGACAGGCGCAGCGATATACGAAGACAACCGCATCGCTGCCGCCAAAGAGAAACGTTAAGCCGGCAAATCACAACTTCGTCCAGAACGCAACGCCGCCGCACAACCGCTTCCAACGTGTCCTCGATGTCAACGGACATTCCGGGCTCGAATCGGACTTGTTGGACATGTTTGGATTTACTGCGCCTCTCGAACGGCACCAACCATCGTCCCCCTGCCTGCCTCTTCCTCCTCCTCTCCGCCGCCAAGTAACTCTGACAATTCTTCTGACCCACCACTTCCATCATACTCCTCCTCCTCCTCCTCGCCCACTGCTCCAACGGCGGCCGCTCAGGCGACTGTCCCGCGCACAGTAACCGACACTACCACCACCTCCCCCGACTCCAGCGATGAGGATCAGGACTACACCTGCCCTCACTGCGACCGTACCTTCACCTCACACATCGGCCTGGTCGGTCATTTGCGAATCCATCGCACAGAGACTGGCGAACCAGTGCGTGAAGCACCAACCTACACCCACCGCACTCGCCTCCACTGCCCACACTGCCCCCGCACATTCAGGCATCGCATGGGCCTTTTCGGCCACATGCGCATCCACGAGAGCAGCCTTGACCGCACTCCCGACACACCCACTACACCCAACACATCCACCGTGCACACCCCACCCTCGCTCCATCCGTCCGCGCCACCACCACCAGCACCGCCTCCTCTGTAGCTGACACTGACACCGCCGACTTCTCATGCCCACACTGTCCACGCACATTCACCTCACGCATCGGCCTGGTCGGTCACTTGCGAATCCATCGCACCCACCTATACCCACCAAGCTCGTCTCAACTGCCCACACTGTCCTCGCACTTTCAGGCATCGCATGGGCCTATTCAGCCACATGCGCATTCACGACGACCTGCGGTAGACAACCGCCGGCCACACCACACATTCACTCACTCCCTAACTCCTCCACCACCACCGCCATCACCCCACCAGAAATCAACACTCACACACCTCATGCACCAACTGCCACCTCCCACGCAAGTGGGAAGTCCGCATCTCGACTCGGTCCCCATGCGGCTACGGCTGCACGGGTGACTTGAATCCGAGACTATCTCGACACGTCAAGCGTCGTGAATAGGAAGGCTGCTGATTGACGCCCGCTCTCGGTTCACGCAGTTCGTCGCGTTGTGTGTGTGTGTGTGTGTGTGTTGTGTGGAGTGGCGGACTGGTGGGCTGGGAACGGGCTGAAACGGCACCTTCCACGGCACTCTCACGCAAGTGAGAGACACGCCGTTCTACCGCCGTTGTGTGAAATCCTGGTGTTGTGTGTATGGGGGGCCAGGTCGTGCTGTGGCGCGCGCAGTTATGGTCAGTCGACCATGACAGCCACCGCGCCCATTCCCCACTCCAGTCTGCTGACCGGCTCGGACAGCGGCTGGGATGTGGGAGTGGGAAGGGAGAGTGAGGTCGACGACTCAGCGCACTTTCTCCTCACTGTAAACAATCTGACGCGCTTGAAGCTATCATGGTGCGCTAAAAGCCGTGGCTTGGAAGGTTGCCAAATGACGGGGTAACTTGGACCTCCTCCTTGACCGGAGGCGGTCTGAGAGTCAGGCTGCAATGGCTTGTTTTTAATGTGGCCTTTATGGCACTCCCATCACAGTGTGGGATCCAAGCCAGGCGTTGGCGGTACGCCCAGGTGCGGCTTCGGCCGTGCCAGCCTCCAAATCTCTCTTGTGTTGGTTGAAATCCTGGTTATTTGTTGTGTGGACCAGGGGGTGTGGTGGAACGCCAAGGTGAGAATCCGTCCGAGCCATCCACCTGCGGCCTCTCACGTCTCCGGTCTTCTTGACTCTGTCTTGACACCGGGCTCAGGCGAGGGAGGAGAAGAGAGTGTAGGTAGATGCTACGCAAGTCTACCGGCACTATAAGCCCTTGCGTAAGTCACCGTCCCTGCTCCCATTGCTGATGCAACTGTGCGGTGGACATCATCGAAACCGATGGTCGAACTGTCATATAACAGTATGATCGCTTTTAGCTGGCGAAAGATCTGTGGTAATGATGACCGCCTCCGTCCCAACATTTCAAAATATCAGTTCGTAACTGGATGATGCCTGTCCTTTTAAACAAATAGTTGGAAGCATTTGGTATCTGATTGAAGTGACCTATACAGGGAAACGTTAGAAATGTAGTGTCAAACTTCTTTTCCAGACAAAATGACACATAAATGGATCGGGACGTATGAAAAGAACAAGCGAGCCTAAAAGATGCACAAGTTCAAAATCTAGGCTTACCGACAAAATTTCATGACCTAATCAGTTATCTATGTTCACAAGTACAGTCCTATGCCTTCATGACTGTGGTAACATTGTTCGCTCACCGTAACGGTGAACTCGAAGCGACAGTTTATAGGAAGGCAACGGGCACCATACAGCTCCTCAGTTTTCAAAGCAACCATCCGGTGGCTCACAAACGAAGCTGTGTGAAGACCCTCTTCAAACGGATCCAAACTCATTGAAGCAAACCGGAGGACAGAACGCGTGAGGCCCGTTATCTCCGCGACCAGTTTGTGCAAAATGGCTATCCGAGGGCATTCATAAGTCGCTGCCTACGCAGTTGCCACCAGAAAACTCGAACATCAACGCCACCGACGATATGGCATTCTCTGCCATACATCAAGGGCGTTTCAGAAGCGACCGAGCGCATTGCTGCGGAGCTAGGTGTTGGGATTGCACACCGCCCCAAAGCCACCATGCGCAATCGGGTCATGAAAATCAAAGACCGGCTAAAGCCTGAAGAGCAATCTGGAGTAGTGTATCGCATTCCGTGTCAAAATTGTCCTTGTAACTACACAGGACAGACTGGACGCATGCTCGGATCGCGCAAACACGAACATAAACTGGCTGTGCGACGAGACGACACATTATCACAAGTGGCTGCCCACACCTACGAAATTGGTCACGAGTTTAACTTCGCAGCCGCCGAAATAGTCACCCACGCCGGAAACAAAACAGGCCGATAATTGATTGAATCCTGGGCCTCGGATGAGAACTCAGTCAACCGATTTATCAATCTGGCGTCGGCGTACAGAGCCCTGCGTAGTCACCTCCAGTTTTGCGCCGTCTGTCAATGATTGGGCCTACATGCCTTATAACTGCCGCTTGTTCTGTTTCTGCCACTATCTCTGACGATGGACTTCTGCATGAGTCTGAAAGCTCAGGGCAATAAACAAAGTGTTCCGGTGCTCGAATCTTCTTCTTTATTCATACATTATATTTGTCGAGTACAAACTCCAGGTACTGAACATGGACATTAACTCCACAGCTCGGACGTAACGTGGTGGGGGGGATGGAAAGTATATATTACCAGGCAGTCAATTGAAATTTACAGCAAATGATTCATTGCTGTTTTCAAAACTTTTGACCAGAGGAGGACTGAGAATATTGTAGCTTACGAGGTGAAATGCGAGGTATCTATCCAGCGTTGTCGTGTTATTATATTACTAATTTGATTATCTAGTTCTGTCCTCAAACGATAAGATTTTCATGGATAAGTTAGACATTGAGATTCACAACTGCTCATTGCCGCTAGCGGTTCAGAAGTATGCATGCTCCCCGATGAAAGAGTACTTCGTCCTTATTGAAATTAATGGAAGCTGGGACTCTGTATACTCACAGTCGAGAGTCGTTCCGATCGGATGTATCCTTGGGGATCTTATCGGTTGACCAACGGTAACATTTCTTCACGCATTAGGCAACAATAACTCGTCTTACCGAGACTCTCACCGGCACAGTTGGCACATTTCACGAATTCTATAACCCAACATTGCCTTAATTACTCATTCGCAAATAGTGAAAGGGTACGGTGAGAGTTAGCATAATATTTACTATGATCATCCGTGTCGTTTCATTTTGTGTTGTAGAAAAATATGCCCGGCCAACCGCACCGTCAGAGAAAACCTACTAAAAATGTGACAGCGCAAATTGGATGTCGGACGATGTGCCGCTTCCGTCTTCGTCAACGGTAAGGTTTCCAAATTATTGGCATTGATGCATTTCTGGACTCTGACAGCGAGGGTCCCTCAAAAGCTACACTCCCGGGAGGCATATCTCCCCCCTACTTTAGTAAGCACTCAACATGTCTATTTGTTCCTATTAGATGACGCCCGCTCCAAAGGAAAAGGCGGCGATACGGGAGCCGTACGTCCGACGCCGGTCAAAGAACATAAACGGCAACGACGTCGGCTTCTATGCAAACAACAGGATATATTGATGCGTTTAAATGGTCTGTGCAGTAAGATCGATAGCCTACAAGGGACGTCAAACGTCTAATTGCCGCCTCTACACCGCGGCCAGTTGAGAAAAGACCGGCTTGGCAGCAAATATGTTTGCTGATAGGAACGAACAAGCGAATTCCCGGTAACAGTTCTTAAGACGAAGTTGCAATCACTGGAACAAGAAATTTATTGGCCTGATGGTTTGGATTCTCACGCGAACCCATCATCAGAGAACATCGCAGATAAGGGCAGTGATGGCACAAGGAGTGCAGCATTTACAGCACGCAGATACGTAAGGCCATATGCATACTATAACTAACAGCTCTCGCAATCACCGCTGGGGATCGTGATTGATAAAATGATGGCTTGTTAGTCCGCGCTCGAGTCGTTAATTGCCGCGATTTCATTATCCATGTTGGATGTTGACGTGACGATTACTCGGCAGATTGGCTCAATGTCACCAGGATTATAGCGCACCCGCGTCCTCCCCACGTGACTGATTCCTTAACTCAGGGAAAATCTCAGAGCAGAAAACAGTGACGGGAGGTCAGCATGCTTGTTGAAAGATTGCGGGCCCAAAAGCCATGAATCAAGCAGCTCGCGGCTCACGCGGTTGTCACCTCTTGCGGGGATTTCAGCTTTTTAAAATTTGAAACTATGTCCAGGTCCCGTCGAATGAGCCGCTACCTGAGAGGAAGCATCTCCCAGCCTCACTGATGCTGCGTGTTCGTGTCCGGAAATCTCCTAGTTTCTCCAACGCAGTTGCTCTGTCTGCAACTCCACCAGATCTAGTAAACGACTCCTGACGTTTTATGTCGTGGCAGTGGGTCTTTCAGCCTCATGACTTGGCTCCTGATGGTTTCTTCCGGCCTATATGCAATTCCAACTTCAAATGAAATGGGAAGACGACTAACGGATTCCGAGACGTTCATGAGAACCCGCAAAATTTAGGACCGGTTGGGTTTGGTCTTTGTTGTCGTTTTCGTATGCACTGGTTGAGAAAGGTGCGCGGGTTGCCATTGGCACTCAGTACCTGCCAAAGATATTGTAATTCGGGAATCTTGGCTTCCGTTTCACTGCAATGCGTCTCAACGCGCCGGTATAGCGTCCTTACGCAATTGCGTTTGTGACAGGTCGTATTGACCGCTGTCCAGAACACTGGTTTTTAAACCACCACAAGCTTTTCAGCAGACGAAGACATGCAGAAAGGCCAGCATACAAAACGAGTGACGAAATCGCGGCAATCAACGACTCGGACGCGGACTGACAAGCCAACGTCGCATCAATTACGACCCTCAACGGTGATTTCGAGGGCGGTTAATTATAGCACACATATGAACCCATAACAGGTACGTGCTATAAATACAGTACGCCGTGTGCCCTCCCTACCCTTATCTGCGACTCTTTCTGATGATGAGTTCGAGTGAGAACCCGAAACAATAAGCTAATAAATTTCTTGTTCCAATGATCGCATCTTTGTATTCTAAATAGGCCCGATGCCTGCCTTAGACCAACTGTGCGCGGTAATGAAAAACGTGGCGTACAGACGTCGTTTGCTAACTTATTTATTATGCATAAACAACACGCTCAGATATGTTACTTATGTGGGGTAAGTGGGGAGAATACGCCAGCATTTGCTAGCCGCATTTTTTCTACATTTTTCGCCGAGTACGTTACAAAGTTTGTAACGTTCAATGGAGAAAAACCATGGACTAGAACATTCCATGGATCACCCATATACGAACCCATCCTGAGTAGGATTTATATATTATTTGCCTAAACCACTTACATTCCATAGGCTTTCAACAAGTGCGATAAGAACCACATGTCAGACAGGCAGAAATGAGAAGACACGCGCTCAAGAACGTCTTCAAAAGGGTCCAAGACAGCGACAACAACGACGATGCAATAAAGAATCCACTTGTGGAAGTCCAGTAGTGAAAAGTTTGTCCGTAATATTTTTCAACAAATATTTTCCCAGGTAAATTAGAATTAACATTTTTCCAACAAAAGCCTAAGTTTGAACAGGGGTAGGATGGGTAGTTTAGCATCTGGACGGCGGCAATCTCCAGTTTAATTTAAAAGTGAAATCTCCTATATTCGAGCTCGTTACGATCGCAACATGCTGGAGCACGAACCGAGTCCGTTGCCTCGGAAATCTGAGCTCAATTGGCGGCCGTAATAAATAGGTCGCATCGAGCTCAGTTGCTTGGTCAAACGCGAGCTTGAAGCAACTTCTAGAGAGCCGACTTACTCCCTCGTTCCGAGCTTGCAATGAACTCGCTTTGCTATTATGGCTACGACCACTACCGGTAGTGGTATGGTGCTTTGGGATATTCCTAAAACTTTTATATCATGTTGGCAGCAGAACACCGCAGATATAAAAGCAGTCAATGGCAAATTATCATAAACTTAGAAAACGAAACAGAAATTTAAGCAATATATAATTATGCTGCGAATGCGCACAAAACTCACGATAAGATTTAAAACACCATCAAATAACTGAGGCCTTGAAAATCAGTGGTTATTGATGCAGTTAAACACCATTTTCCTGAGGCTGTTCGGATAAGCCTTTTCTCGTACATGACGACGAGAAATGAAATTTTAATTTTAGAACTAGAAAATGCCATAATGTATGAATATTTTAACTCCGGGTTACCGCATACTTCATTTATTTTCCGCATTCCACTGATATAGGCACTAACTCGCAATTTATTAAATTCCAAATTCTATAAATTCCAAAATGTGATGCTTGTTTTCTCGCCGAAATATGATTTCTCCAACGGGACGCAAAAATGTCGTTAGGAACCTAATGATCTATTACTAATACATGCGATTTTAGGACTGCGAATCTCCACTTTATATAATCGGCCAAAAATGCTCGGAGAAAAAACAAAGTACAACCTGTGGCAAGTTCTGGACGATGAAGTGTAAAAACTCTTAAGATTGAAAGTAAGCGGTGAGTTCGGGGAGCCATCATTTTCAAAAAATCCAAAGGAAAATAAATCCAACTGCGCAAATGGGCATGGAGGAGCAGAATACATTCCTCTAGAGCGTAGGATACAACCAAAAGGGCACACCAGCAAGTGGGATTGTGGCGCCATTATGCTGATCTTATAGGACGCTAGGTTGCGCCGAACGTAGACTGAGAACGATAGTGCGGATTGGATCTGGACATCCCGGCTGCCAAAAAGAAACGATGATATGGGTTCGCGTCAAACAGAATGGAGTCGATTAAGTGTGCTTGGCAGTATGACCAGAAGGTTTGTCCGAAGGATAGGCTAGGGAGGAGACTGTGTCTTGTAAATGGCAGGGGATATGAGTAAAAAAATAGGGATTTCTAATGAGACACCGCGACAGTTAAAACCACACGGGGAGTGGGAAACGCCAGGAGATAAGGTGATTTGGTGGCGCGTACTAGAGTTCTAATAGTTGTTTCTAAAGTGAATAGAGAAAGCTGCTCAGGAACAAAAAGAAAAATGAAAGATTAGTTGAACATTCGTTAAGATATGGGCGCAGTATTCTTCTTCTTTACTGTGTGCACGTCGATAGTATGATATCAAAAGATGGCTCATACCGATTCTGAGCGGATTATTGGTCGCTTCGGTTAGGGCGTGACACTCGTCACCAGTGTTCTGTTTAAAAGACTAATTAGATGCACTGAAAAAGGAAGTAATATATTTAAGATCTGCCCCAACTCAAGTTACTGGAGATGTGTTACTACAATGTGCTGTCCAGAAGATGAAGATGCTACCACTGGAACAAGAAATTTATTGGCCTGACATTTCGCATTCTCGTTTGAATCCATCATCAGAGGTTTATCGGCACTGTGTTTGCTACCAAACCAAACTAGGAATCGTGTATATTCACTAATTTATAAGATGAAAGTATGGACTGTGCGCAGATTTATAAACCTGACTTACCTCGCCTAAACGTACCACACGGGTCCTTTTTTCGAAAGGGTAATAAAAAAAACCAGCTGTCCACCTTAAGCGGTCAGTTACGCTCGTTAAAGGACTATCGCATTGGTCTTTATCTTCCAAAATTTAGCCAGCCTTCTCGTAACGCGTATTATTCACCCAAAATCCTGTCTGTGTTAAAATGACTTGGTTATAATAAGGGACTTTGGCCGTGTTTGTGAATCCTGTGGTATTACGAAATGCAGGCCTGCAACACTGAGTCAAAGTTTGAGTTTTCTCGTCAAAATTGCAAAATGTGTTTTACTCAGTCAGTGTGTACTACTTTTCTCCAAATTATCAAACCATTCACGATAAGACATTAGCACGTGAAGCGGAGATACATGCATGATTTTCCTCGAAACAAACCCTTATGGTTCCCGTTCCTTATACGCTTCCGCCAATTAAAACTTTACTACGTTAATCTTGATTTATCGAGAATACTTACAAACTCTGCATATGATTAACAACCGATAGTAATTTACTATTTTGATTCAATTTACATTTCCTTTTTAATTTAAAGGAGTTAGCAGTTGTATATCCTCCTAACGACATTATAAGTTTAAATATATGAATTAGCTTTGGTCATAAATAACTGCACATCAGCTTCTTCGGTCGAAATTTGTCATTATGCATTGCATGTACGATTACATATGCAACCTCCCAAAGTTTTCAAAAAGACTTCGGGAATCGACAACAAAACAACAGGTTGCTCCGTTACCGAGGCTCCCACCTATCCAGAACTCTGTCTAAAACCTTAAAGCAATATCAGATTGTAGATAATTGCGATTATCGATAATTGTGAACGTTTTCAAAATCACCTGGCGGTTTAAACATGTTTAAATTTTCTGTCGGTCGCGTTGTTCGTTCTAGTGCGTCTGCGTTCATGAATAGATGAGCTATAAACGGATTGACTAGAAAACATTTCTTCCTGGAGGCCTTTTTGCTCTAGCTTTGAGCCATACAAAACCAATGTGGGCCTGCAAAATCAAATTTAGTTAACCTTGCATTTTTATTTTTGCAATGTTTTGCATATTGCGATTCATCTGTAGACCAACAGATGTGCAAAACCACGTCTGGTTTTCGGATGGTCTTACTGTTCAAGGAGGAAACTATCTTTATTTATAGTTCATTACGGCACTCTTACTGGTCTTATATACTTTGCCGAATACTATTTTATCACCCACCCATTTGTTTAGGTTTCTTCTGTTTTAAGTGTTTCCTGAAGTGACCTGTTTATTCTCATAGGATGACAGTATTTTTTGTGCCAAAGCATTTTGTCAAAGTAAACAATGTTTGTTACTAAAAGTTGTCGTTACCAAATTTGTCAAATTCAGACATTTATTAATGGTCAAAATAACGGCTTAGAGAAACTAGTAAGGCCTCGTTAAATGATATTTTAAACCTGCACAATTAACTGCTTAATATTCTTATTTTCTTAAAGATGCTACAAGTAATCCTGGTCTTAACACTAACTTTGAGCCTTCGGATAGTTGGAGCAAGGGATGTGAACCGTCTTGCGGCCATTTCAAGCGTTGAGGCGTATGAGAATATGTGCGCTCTTGGAAATTACCACAAGCCTTCCCCCTCGCCGGAACTAGAACTGACGAACTGCAGTGACTTTCGTAACAGCTCCTGTTGCACAAGGAAAACTACTGAACTAATTTTCAGTGGAGAGCTTCATAGTTTTGATTTTGAGCATTGTGGAGTGATGGACAAAAAATGCCGTGACTTTTTCAACCAGGACTATTGCTTTGTTGAGTGCTCCCCTTATCTTGGGCCATGGCTAGTGCACGTGCGTTTATTTTAAAAACTTTGCACGCATTTTCCACTTAGGCATATAAGATAGAACAGTCCGCCTCAGCCAAAATAATGAATGTGGGCTAACTTAAATGGGCGGAAAGTAAAGAAGTGCCTTTTCTGAAACTTTTATTAAAGTGTGGAAAAGCAAATTTATAGTAAATCGTCCAAATATAGTATTTTGTTTAGTTTACGACTTACTATTACGATTAATGGAAATATCACATCGCATTATCCAAACGCGAAATTTCAATAAAACTAAATCTATGTCTTAAGGAAAATAACATCCTGATAGTTCGAAAGTTACCTGTGCTTTAGACGTAGTACGAAAATAAAGTTATATATGTATAAAACGTTTTGTTTTACTTTCTTTGCGTCTCGATTGCCAAATTTTGGCCATAGAAGAATAATCCACTAAAGCAAAGACACTTTATTTCCAAATAAGCATATGAAAATTTTACATATATTAATTATGTGCTTCGGTAAATCCTACGCATTTCAAGTAATTGCATTTATCTTTGCTCACTTATGAAGTTCATACGCTTTAAGACATTTCGATTCTCTGAAAAATTACCATTCTCAAACTTTTGCTGAGAAAAGCCATCCGGGTCATCCATAAATGCCGGAGTAAGTCTGGGATGATTGCTAGTCTTTGTAAGCGGTGCTAAGATGCGCACACTTACTTAAAGATGCATTCCCTAGACAAATGCTATAAGTAGTCAAAATTATTTTAAAACCGGAGTAGTTAGCACGTTTAAGCCTGTGTTTTCAAAGTTGACAGCTTTGTCATTCCTCTCTTAAATCATGATTTGCATTTAAAAACATGACATTGACTTAAAATATGCGATACTTCGGTTGCTCAGGAGAATTTTCCATGGGAATAATTACATTAAAATGAATTAAATAATTTAGACTTTTCTTGCGGTTGTACAAGCGTTAAGAATTAATTCGAAAATATTTCTGCTGCTTGAGTGAACGCACATGGGTTTTCGTTAGCAGGCTGGGTTTTGTTTTATACTGCCTTTATTGAAAACATACACGCGCTAACTATTACATCAAATATATTTTCATAACATGCTACGCCTTGAGCTGGAGTGAACGTCCACACCGCATGTAGACCCCTCGATACCTCTTCAGTAGCCAGCTTCGTGTGGCGTTGCCGCGTAGCTCGACGTGGCTGCACCAGCCCCACTTATGCTTTTTAATCGACTTACTATTTGGATCTCATCGACCTAGACCTGCTTGAAAAGTGTTAACCAGACGCTTAGCAGCTTTGATGGGGAATCATTTTGTAATTAAAAAAAGACATGCATCACTTAGTGTTGGCTAGCAAGCACAGTGTCTGCTGAGAAATGCAGAGGTTTGCATTACCATTATCATCAATAACTTCTGCCAACACCATGTCTCTCCGTTTTCTGCATTCAGCGGTGGCATTGTGGTGGTTGCTAATCCAATTCACATGGTGGCTTGTCAACTATATAGAGAACGTTGCGACATTTGTATGCCACCTTCTGCTACACAATTTGACTGTAATCTTGTGTTTTGTCCCCAGTCTGAACGCTCTCTCGGCCTAGAGCGTGTGTATAAAGTACCTTTATGTCAGACAGACTGCGACGCCTGGTATGATGCCTGCAAAACATCAATGACCTGTGCAGAAAACTGGCAGAGTGGTGGATTTAACTGGACCACAGGTAAGTAGCTCCTTTGTTTTACCTACTACTAATCTAAATATTTCTTAGCTCTGAAACGAGTGAGATGTATTAGGAGTTTCTGGCTCAGCATTTAGATTGAAAGAAGTTTTTCGATGGCTGTTTTAACAGGCCACAACTTATTTAGTCATAAAACATCTAAGGAGTAAAAACGTGACTGAATTGTAGTTTTTGCAGAGTTGTTTCCAACTCAGCGGCAGACTTCCGTGCCAGTGTGATGTCACTACAGTTGATGATACTGACCCTTGTACTTCCATTAGGCGAATAACAAGATTATTCAACATGCTTTATTTGAATGAGCCTCCCACGCAACTATAGCCGACAAAATCCTAAACAAGGGAACCAAACTTATTGCATTAAGTGACTATTTCTGCTACGCACTGGAATGTAGGTAGAAGAATCTAACTGCTCCCAATATCTCTACCAGTCACCGCAAAATAATATGTCAGAAGACTCTTCCAACGATTTGCGTTCGATAATTGTTGATACAAGAATGCGAAGTAGGGTAATTTAAGGAAATTAGGTAGGGAAAGAATTGTACCAAGAGATTCTATCTCCGCCCAAAGTTTATCGACCTGAACATGTACATGGCAAACCCAATCACCACTGCACTTCCTTTATCACTCATGCCGAGCTCTTTTACTTTCTCTATACAATTTTTTTCTATTTGGACAACAAAATAAACCTGAGCAGAAGGATATGGCATGCAGGGTTACGCTGAATTAGACCAATACCCTCAAGGACGTCAAGAGAAATCCTTCTCGAAGAGGCATGATAACGTAGCCGGACAGTTTCTTAGAGTCCTACCATCAGTGATCTGTTTTTCTGCCATATAATGCTTGGTCGGCACAGACGCCTCCCCTATGATTTTCATTTATCTATGGAAACTACTTCAATATTGAAATTTCGGGAAGAGTTCTCAGTATGCCATGCAAATGTGTTGTGGAATTTTCGCTGAATAATTCCCAAACGAACTGCGGCAGTTAATTTCAGAATAAAATAAGCATCTGTGTAGTGTATACTTTTCCGCTGCTTTTATGGTTTGTATCAAGCAATGTGTCTGGCGAATAAAAATTTAAGAAGCTCCTATTTACCTAAGGGTGATGAAAAATTTAAGGATTGAAAGTCCTTGTCTTAAGGGCTCTCAAGAAATTCCACTAGTCAAATAATTTTCAAGATGCACTGTACGGTTTTGCATGTGTCGATGGTGTCAATATGAATGCAGAGCATGTTTACAAACACTTTGATTTGGCGACGGGTTATTAATAAGCCGTGACCTGCGAACGACATATATGGTATTCATCGGGACTCAAGAACAATGCGGAAACTTTTCAATGCCCTTTTGATGGAAAGCATTACTTAGGTTAAGCGGAAGACTGATTAGGATGCAATACAATCTTGATGACCCTTTTTGGTAGGCTATTTACGGATTCCAAAGAGGACGCCTTGCTATCATTAATTCAGTCAGGTCAAGTTTTTCATGCTTTTATGCGACCTTATAGCATACAGTTACTTTTTAAAGATAGTTGTTCTTCCGATAAGAATTTTGACTTCCTTTTACCTCACTTCACACCATTTGAGTAAACAGTGTAACCCCGTGTAGGACATGTATTCGTACTTGGCCGAACGTTTGCCGTAAATAGATCGCCAAATTTCTTTCAGAGGGAACTTCGTCTTATCTTGCATCCATAGATCCTGTATTCTCTCATGGCGATTTTCTTCTTAGTTCAAGAATGATCATTTAAAAAATTTGTTTGTCTACTGTTTTTTCGAAGAATATTTGCGTTTCATGGGAAGCGACTAGCATAATAAGCTACTTTAATTAGGACAGGAAAATTTGTTTGGTTAATAAGCCACAGCTGAAGTTTGGTTTATGCGTTCCGTACGCTTTGAGTGAGCACAAAACAATTCAACATGCAAATGTTTGTTTGTAATTGTTGGCCTGACATCGCCTTGCCCGTCAGCAAAGTAAACCAGCTCAAGTCAGTCAGTTAGCAAGTCAGTGTATTTAAAAGAAATAGGCTTACACCTTGAAATATCCTATTTGCATATAAAAGTCAAGAAAATAAACAAAATGAGAAGAAGTTACAGCATTAAGTGGTGTAGACATCGATTCACATAGGTCACCGGTCTTGTGGTTACAAAGTCATATAGTCTGCTTGTTGCTGTAACATGTGTCTGTCAAACCGACATTTAAATATCTCCACAGATTGAGGAAAAACAATCGTCTCGGTCAGGTCATTTCACGGTTCCACGACACGGTTGGAGAAAAAATACTTTCTCACGTTCAGTTTACCTTAGGGCACTCGTAGTTTTAAAGGGTATCCTCGGGGGTTATTTGTAATGACGAGTAGGAAAAAGTCGTAACAACGGATGGTGCAGTCCAAGCCACGCACTATACTGAAAGTTTGTATTAAGTCTTTACTCAACTGCCTATAACTCAGAGGATAGAGATTAAGGTTAGTTAGTCGGATCTCGTGTGGCAGTGCACACTGACCTCTTACTAATTTTGTGGCTCGTTCTGCACCCTTTCGAGTGAACTGAAATTCTGCTGCGTCCAAGTTCTTCATGCCTGGATCGCATATTCAAGATGCGGACTTGCAAGCTTGCCGAAGACTTTGGAGAAGTATTCTTCATCGGAAACTGTGAATGTCCGCTTGATGGCGTATAGCATTGATGTTGCGGCCTTAGCCGCTTTACAAAATTGTGTAGAAGGCTTTAGGCTGTCTGCAACCGAGCCTCCGAGATCTTTCTGCGTTTCTGCCTCTCGGAGTAGCATTCCGTTTAGATGGTATTTCCGCATACTACGGATCTGATTTACGAGGCGCAGCATGGTGCATTTGTTCAAATGGAAGGACAGGGACCATCTGCGGGAGCATTTGCCCAATCGACGAAGCTTTCCTTGGAAGTTGGCCTCGTCAGCAGCACTGTGAATGACTACCTACAAACGCGCTCAATCTTTGGGATGCCAAGGCAGAGTATGGAGCCGAATTTTGACAAGCATAGGCTCCTGGCGAGAATTGAAGCGACAATTAGCTCCGCCTATATAGTGGAGCACTGCTGACGGGAGGTCTTGTTACCGTGGACGCTAGACTGCCGATGCCGATGGAATATGACACTACTGTGGTTTTATCTAACAAGCGGGACCACTGCTCCATTGAATGAGGCATGCTAGTCAAACAAGACTGGTTTAGTCTGAGGCATAATAAGCTACTTTATTTAAGACAGGAGCATTTGGTTGGCTGATAAGGCACAGCTGAACAAAATTAGGAAAACAAAAAGAGGCCAACACTTCCAGCCACGATTAGATTACTCACAGAATCTGTGAGGCACGTTTAATGTTTAGGAGTGTGTTAGATTATAAAACAAAGAGGTAAGACATTCGAATGACCACTGAACAAAATTATAACAGCGGAAGCTAAAAGCGTACTGACCACTGGCAAGTGTCATGAGACAATTGATCTTCTTAACTTTGTTTGCATCTGGCCAACTCTTCCGCAAAATGCTGGAGAACTATTGAACCCCATTCAACAGTTCGGTTAAACATGACACAACTGAGCTCGTACTGGACGCGAGTTGTAAAACTCAGTCACAGGTGGATGAGTAAGCATCTAAATATGTCATTACCAGCAATAACCCAAAACATGCCTATGATTTGTGAGCGCATTCTGATTAAGGAGATTACTGAAGTCGACTAGTAGTCTATCCGTGATGAGGAACAATGTTAAATCAAGTCACAACCTTTCTAACTCCATTTAATTTTTTTACAAAGGAGGATTGCGTGTGGGACTTTTAGTTTGCTGATGAAAGGGTCAAACAGAAACGTTGGGCTAACAGATCTCTGTGTATCTGCATTCGATAAATTCAAGCTAAACAGAGACAGAAGCCTGAAATCGACATCTTTAATACAATTTATGTCATACGGCCGCCATTTACCATGTTAACCTTATGTCTGAATCTGGTTTCAGAATAAATATAATAGATTATTAGATGACTCACAGAGTCATTATCAATCGGCCGCAAAGGGGCTGATTCAAGAAGCCTAGATGCTTGCTATATTCCACAGTTTATTACGGTTTTCTGGAATCTTTCAGTCAGTTGCCCTGTGGCATCGTACAGAGGTGTCAGCTGGAGTATTGCGAAAGGATCTAAATTTTCTGTATTGCTTAACGACTTGTTAGGCAATTACAGTAGATGTGCTAACTCATGAAATGTCAACCAAACTTTCGAAATGCGTTCTCGTTTCGAAAAGATAAATTAAATAGTGTTGTAAAACAAATCATGATGCAGCATAAATCTATAATGACCCAGTTACCTCATTGTATCGGCTTTCGAAAAACCTTATTTTCGGCTGCATGCGAAATCTATACTCTGCAAAAAATGACTGCTTAAGGGGCATGCAATCTTCTCATTGATTTTCGATGCCCTTGAAAATTCAATTATATTTCATGGAAAACATGCATAAAAATATCCATTCTTTTACTTATTCGGTAGAAAATCACGTCTTCTTCCAATTTCACACTCAAAAGAAGAGTATAATTCGGTTTTAAAAAAGTTTTTAATTGTGAGATTTTCAATACCGTTAAATGGCCGTTCATGAAACGTCATGTATCTGCATTTAAGAATGTGGCTTGTAAAGTTGACAATATTGCTCAAATCCACTGCTTAATTTTATGAACCTCATATGGTCTCCTCTTAACACCGTAGAGAAATGCATGGTTTTCCGTACACGGAAAATATACAGCTTGTAGTTTTGAAATCCTGAATGCAAGTGTAACAACAGGTCGGGTTCAAAATTATTCGGTTTTAAAAAACGCTTCTAATTCCCGAATAATTTTGAACCCGACCTGTTGTTACACTAGCATTCAGGATTTCAAAACTACAAGCTGTATATTTTCCGTGTACGGAAAACCATGCATTTCTCTACGGTGTTAAGAGGAGACCATATGAGGTTCATAAAATTAAGCAGTGGATTTGAGCAATATTGTCAACTTTACAAGCCACATTCCTAAATGCAGATACATGACGTTTCATGAACGGCCATTTAACGGTATTGAAAATCTCACAATTAAAAACTTTTTTAAAACCGAATTATACTCTTCTTTTGAGTGTGAAATTGGAAGAAGACGTGATTTTCTACCGAATAAGTAAAAGAATGGATATTTTTATGCATGTTTTCCATGAAATATAATTGAATTTTCAAGGGCATCGAAAATCAATGAGAAGATTGCATGCTCCTTAAGCAGTCATTTTTCGCAGAGTATAGATTTTGCATGCAGCCGAAAATAAGGTTTTTCGAAAGCCAATACACTGCGGTAACTGGATCATTATAGGTTTATGCTGCATCATGATTTGTTTTACAACACTATTTAATTTATCTTTTCGAAACGAGAACGCATTTCGAAAGTTTGGTTGACATTTCATGAGTTAGCACATCTACTGTGGTGTCGGATTTTAAGTTCCGGACTAAATGTTTCTTGATACGCAGACGCCGGAATTAGGAGGCTCATCCAGAATACAGGTGAGCTTGTGTTAAATTCCAGGAAGTATATCTAGTTTTCTGTCCTAATCCCAATCCAAGCATTAGCCCTAGCCCCGGCCTCGCTGGAATTTAGCTCAAGGCACCTGACTTACGGGGTTCCCCATTTCCTTATCCTACAGATCTTATTGCTACAAAATGGCTTAGACACATGTCTTACTGTTCCTTGGTTAAAAGACACTGTGGCTCACGGGAAGACCTATTGGGTTTCGTAAATAAAAGTAATATAGCCACGATTATATAAAGTTCAGAACTTTGTCGCAGGCAAGCGCGCTAAATCAACGATCTTATTTATGAATACTGCTTCTTCGCCTTTGTGCAAAAAGTGCCTTAACGCATTTACTCCGCTTGGTGCAAAAATAAGGAAGCGTGGCCCTATTCTTGTGCTCGTAAACGGAATGCCAGAAAAGCTAAGGAGGCGACTTAGCCTGGATAAGCAAGTAATTTACCAAAGGTTTATCTAGCCTCACTGTGCTACGCTCCAGTACTTATTCTAGCAAACTAAAATTGTCGTACCCACTCTCTGTAACCTTCCTCTTTAAGTGCCGCATCTCGTACTCTTTGCTCATCATAGTGTTATTAAAACTAATTTCTAATCTTTTGACCCGAAGTGTTTGAACGGCACCACATTTGATGTAAAAGCTTCCTGCTCCTTGCTCATGAGCAACCTCCTCAAGCGTCCGTTATGTCAGGATTAACAGACCATGGCCCTCGTAGCCTGCTATGCGCTAGTATTTCTCCAGCACCTGATTCCCCGCCACTAGATGCGCTTGCGCTCCCGCTCGGCATACAGGTCGTGAGCATGGCTGTCCAGTCATCCTTGTCCTCTGACCCGTTGTGGTGCTGCTGTTGGTCAAAAACCTGCTCACTTGCTTTGTGGACAAGGGGGTGTGGAGTGGAGCACCACGGTTCGAGCTCGGCCGCGTCATCCACCTGCCCCCTCCTCCGCCTCCGGTCTTCTCGACTCTGTCTTGAAATTGGGTTCAGAGAATGCGGTAGATGCAGCGCAAGCCTACGCCCACTTTAAACTAATTCACGCGCAAATCACTGCGCCTGCTTCGTCTCACTGCGGAGCACACGGCGGACATCGTCGGATGCAACGGTCGAACTGTCATTAGTGGACACAGTCCAGCCTATAAAGGCGGCGACAAAATCGCTATTTCTGATTGTTTCTCGACGTCGCTAAGGCTGTTGTCTCGCGCATTAAAGGCAAAATTCTCCGTCATTCAGATTGCCAGCTTTTCAGGTCACGTGTCAGCAGGATCATCTTGCGGTCCCACTTCAGAGTCTTCCTGTTAGCTTGATCGTGCAGAAGGTTTGTCCTGCTTATACGAAGCGTCCTAAAACCTTAATGACCTTTTGCCTCAAATGAAGATCTATTATCGAGCTTAGCATAGGGTGGTGTGAATAAATAAGGGCCAAACGCATCCCACAGTTAGTAGTGGAAAACAGTTATCAGGGTAATTAAATCGTTTAAAAATCGTATGATTGTTGTTTACATTAGCTGTGCGTAGTCAATAACAAGGAGGCTTCCTATGTTTCTTTTTTTGCACCTTTTGCGATTTTCACTTATGTCAGGCACCAACAAATGTAAGAAAGGCTTTACTTGCATGCCGATCGGGGAAGTTTACAAAACCGCGAAAGACTTCTGCGAGAAGGTGTGGGATCATTCCTGGAAAGTTATTGCCGACGGTAAGCACAACTGGTCCACAACACAACCTCAGTGCATGCATCTTGGAGGAGACGCTGTCGACACAAACAATCGGGCCGTCGCAAAGCTCTATGCCACTGCAATTATTCAACGTCTTCGCAGTGTTGCTTCCTCTCCTTTCGTTACCGGAAGTTCGGCAATTCTACCACTCCTGCTTGCTGAATCTCTCAGATGGGCCCAGCTGCTCTAAGCCAAACAAAGACAACACTATGAGGGAAACAATTATTCGAGTTTGTATCGTCCTCTACTGATACCCAGAATCGGGTTGGTTGGACTACCCTGCGAAAGGGTTGTGAAATTATTTTCCTAAATTACTCCAGATAGCATAAATGCATTCTGAATCATCTTGAACACTACCGTCTTTAATGAGAGTGGCCCCTATGACCTGTGGAAAAGCTAGTTAATTATTTTAATATTGTAAAGCATCACAGCCATCTAGGTAGTGATAAAATCTGCAGATCGGTCAAATTCTTGATTTACTCTCCTGGCTAATAACAAGCGGGCGTAAACAGGGAACGGGTTTCGACAGAGAGAAGATGGATTGGGTGACAATTTTCGGCCTAGTTGCCGTCATGAGCCAGCCATATCCAACCCCAAGGTTTGCAGCCCCTGAGGTCCGAACCCGTATACTGTACGTTAGGAGTTCAAAACTCTAACAAATGGGCTCCGTGTTCGTTGGCCTGTCGATTGAGATCGAGATTATGAACTGTGGTAGAGCACTCACGGGATTAGGTATGGCTGGATGATAACCGTCAATAAGCCAGAAATAGCCATTCCAGCCTACCTTGTCTTTGTCGATATTCGCTCTCAGCATAAATCAGTAGTTGCTGTACGACTGCTTGCGGGGTTCCAGAACAAGCCCCTATGTACGGCGCAGTCGACGAGCGCCACCTGCCAGAACAAACGTACACCGACCAGGTAAACCTGTGGCAAACATTTTTTTATTTTGCATTGGTTGAAAGATAAAGCAAATCGTATTCAGTGAAATAACGTTTAACTATCCAGAACACAAATATATGGCCTCCCCTTTTTAGGACTTTGGATTTCTAAACTGAATCCCCACGTCATAATATGACTACTAATTTACTGCTGTGAGACCGCTGGCCACAAAGGTGCAAGCATACTGCTACAGTGTAGGAAAGTAAGTGCAGCCGCCCTAGGTTTATCAGCTATTTTCCATGACTCTAAAAGTCCTCCAGATTTATGACCTGAAAAACACTTTCGACCTGGACAAAACAATTTCTAGCCGCCAAATGTATGATTAAAATTCCGGAAGATGCTCACTTGGAGATATTAGTCACTAGAGTAATGGCACTTCTACAGAACGACACCCTTAGGTGTGATATTTTAAGTTGACATCATCGCAGCCAAATGTTTCTGTGCATCTGCCATGTAGTCGTATATTTGACTTGAGATTATCCGCAGAAGTTCGATTCTGAAAAGGTGAGCCGTATCTTCAACCTTTATGTAGTTGCTTGTAGAAGGAATCTGCCCCTCTTACTCTTCCGTGCTTTATCACAAAAAAGTGTTATAATACTAACCACTTGCTGGTCACGTTTGCGCATTCCAAAGAAGACTGTTCGGGTGACGTACAATGGGAAAAGACAAGACTCGAATTGCAATTTCTGGCATAGATTTGTTTGGTATACCAGCCAAATTCCAGCACCAAGCAGGAAAGAGCTGATTATTGAATCCGTATCTAGTTAGCGATTGAGTCGGTTGGTCTGTTACTTGTCACACGGACCCGAACTCCGTTCACCGTGATCAAAAATATTCTGTAGATTATGACCGGCGCTCACAAGTCAAACCTGATCTGCAGGCCTGAACGTCGCTTTTCGTCGGCAGATGCCGGCCCAAGAGGTTTGGTAATTAGACTGAATGTACACGGACTGTAAATTTACTAATGCGTCCGGAAGGCAAGAGAAAAAAAGGCCAGAAACGAAAGGTTGTCTTAAAATAAAAGTGCACGTTAACGATGGAGTTCTACAACAGGTTTGTGCCATGCGTAACGCATGAAGGACTAGACATGAAAATTTTTAGTACGAGGGCTGTTCTCTCAGTAAAAGCAGTTCATGCTGACTCTGGAAGCCAGTATCTCTCCCGGTCACAAGAATATCCTCACGAGCATAAAGCGATCGCGTTATTTGCCGGCAAGGCGTCCGAGGCAAGATGGTTGGCGTAAAATGGGTACCAAATGTCTCCTCAGTCGCAAGACGAGAAGGCTCTGGCTGCCATCTTGACTCGGTCCTACCAATGGGTCGTTGTGACGAAAGACAGGGATGAGAGTGTGGTGGTGTTGTCAGAACCATTCACCCTGTCTGGGTGCTCACAATCAAGTTCCACCTGCCGTCGACTTCGACGGACAAACAAGTTGATAATTCAGAGCAGTCAACAGCGAGGTGAAGTCTCTAAAACCGTTAGCACTTGAGAGGTCACTATTCAAAAGGTTGAACAAATTCCTCACTCACAACCGTGGGCTTGCGTTACGTCGCACGGCTGTGGCAGTGTCTGATGTAACAGGCCTGGATAATAGTTAGGGACCCACCTCTCCACATATAATACACAGAATCAGCTGGCTGGGGTAACATGATCCCTTCCCCTCTTTTAGATACGGAACTTGAGTACCGCAGCTCAGAGAACCCCTTAATGTTTTAGTGGACTGCCTGGAGGCGGGTTTTGACTCAGGTCCCCTTTTGGTGCATCCAGAAGACCAGCAAAGCTGAACTCATGGGGCAGACAGCGAAAGACATGCCAAAGTCGTCAAAGCTGATTTGGAACTGTGGGTCACATAATAGTTCAGTGATGCAACCGATAATGTGATTGACGGATTTAAAATCATCCGTCGCGCTCCACTGGCCCATAAATGATTGGGATAGCTTCGCTGTCAGCTTAAGCTGCTGCTACAACATCTGCTTCCAGTCGGCGTAGTTGTCGTATTTGAAAACTATGCTGTCAAATTCCCTATTATGATTGATCTAAGTTTCTTGAATCCATCTCGACGAGCAAAAACCGCGGCTTGGAAGGTTTCCAACTGACGGAATAACTCGATCCTCGCGGTCAGCACTGTGCATATGGGGAATGGCTGGCTCGATGAGTACCTAATCATGCGACGTCTACGGCACTTCCGCGCATGATAGGTCCGAACCGCCCTGCATGTCTACTATCACTATAAACTAATTCACGTAAAAATCACCTTCATCGTCCGCACTCTGCTGTGGAGCACACGGAGGACAGCGTCCGTCACGACGGTTAAACTTTCGGATGCCATTATCCACGGCGGTTTAAATGTCATCTGCATAATCCGGCACACGTCTGAGATTTGTAAAAACATGCGAGCAGCGTCGATTCAGACGGCGACTTCTTCCTTCTAAAAAGTGGAAATTTCGCTCCGAGACATTTGAATCTCAGAAGAACATTTGGCAAGCTTATGCGTGCTTTCGATAAATTTTCGTCGAGCCAGTACATTTATGTGGAAATGAGGTAAAAAGTAAAACGTGTGAGCGATAAGAGGAATCGATTCTTCACTTCAACAGTCGCTAACCCGAAGTGGTTTCATATCTTGGTCGGCTATACATCTCCATTGCCGTACGGCCTGCACACTTCTATATACCCAAAAGTAATTGATAGAAACAAGGCGAAATACAATCTGGCCAATTAACACAAGTCTTTCAGCTGTGGCGGGAGGAAACCGCTCGGAAGATAAAAATAATCCGGTTTATTGCACGAGAGTTCCCCTCCACGAACGAACGCCCGCCGCGTGTCCCGCGAGGTGATGGGCGCAGAGCGGTGGCTTGCGCGGGAATTAATATGGTAAGATGTGGTTTGGTTGTCCCACCTGATGGACACAACACTGTTGGGGTTGGGAGGTATGGTTAGGAGTTAGCGGTTATGGTTAGAGGTTAGTGTTTGGGGTTAGGATAAGGGGTTATAGTTACGGGTTAGAGCGACTATTTTTCAACCATTCAAAGTATAACCGCGCATTCCCAATAGCTTTTCTTTTGCATACAACTACTTGCCCACGTTGCCTGTGCGTTCCCCAGTCCCACATGTAAAACCCCTATTACCGCCGGTCTCGAATTAGAGGTTACTGGGTTTTTTTTTACTTCAGGTGGAGCCACATAACCACATCCAACCATCAATTTATAACGATGACAGACTTGCGCAATGTCCGCCGCACTCCTCTCTCATCCTCCCAGCCCCGAAGGCGAGACTGTGTGAAGACAGAAGGAGATGGGTTCGGGTGCAGTGCCCGACAATGATAATTAACCCATCTATAGTTGCCTCACACGCCTGGTCAGCGAACAATACGACTGTTAAAGGCAGGTCAGCTGCCAGTTTTCAGTAAATGTTGACGTCAGGATGAGATATGCATTCTTTGTGGAAACCAGAGCTCCTATCCCAGGCCCTAGTGCCACTGGAACAGACGAGCACACCGACACTTAGCAATGACAGGACTTATCTGACGGAACATGTGTCCTGCAGTCTGTTATTTTTGTAGTTACGACGAAGTCAAATCAGCTTCCCTGCTCCCGAGTGCACTTATTATGCGTCTGGAGGTGGTGGTTCGAATTTCCGTCGTCCATGACTCTGATCGCTCGTCTCTACGCTGCTGTTGTCAGGCCAGCGCTTCTGGGACACGAAGTGGGGAAATGTGTAGCATCAACGTTCGCATTTGTGGAAGACGGAAGGATTAAGGTCACCAGACAGGAAAGCCTGACAGCAGAACACGAGCCGTAAAATGGTGAACCGCTGACCATGATAACACCCGATGTCTTTAATTCAACCCTGTCTGTCTGGACGTCCTTAGGCATAGGTAAGTTCCTGTTCTAACGGCAAAACTCATGAAGTACTGAAAAAGTAGAAATTTGGATTAACGCCTTAAATCGAATCATTCTATGCGTGTTGGGCTTCTCAGTGTTACAAAAGGCAAAGCGTGCGAAAAAAACCTGTGTATGTTCACAGAGAATCATGGAAACCAGTTAGATTTGATTTTTGGGAACTGGTTGGTAGCGCTACAACGCATTATGATAGTGCGTTCATCACGGATGATGAGGACCGATACCATCACGGATGGAGCTCAATCCTGACTCCAGTCTGGGCTAATTTACCATACAGCAGACCTGCGTATAATCCAAACTGCATATTTTCCACACCCATCGTGCTTTGGGGGGAAGACGCAATCAAGATGAGACGAGATAGGCGCAGCAGCTGAAAAATCTAAGTAGGCTGTCTACGCGTGCCACACACAACCTGATCCCCAGTTCTGCCATTGTCAGGCATTGGTGGCTGGGGTCTAAGGCATCACAGAAATCGGGGATAACGCAAAGAGGAAATTGAGATGGAGAGAGAGAGAGTGCAGTATAGTCATCGTTCCAAAGCAGGGCTGTATTATCCAGTCAGCTGGAAAACTACCACGCCACAACTTCGGCGAGTCGTCGTTTCGAGCTCGGCAGACGTGTTTTAGTGAAAGATGTGGTAATGTAGGGGCTCTGTTATCTTTCCCCTCCCATGCGTGCGTGACCAGTCTGAGCCCGTTGGATAACTAGTGGTTAGGCAGTACACACTGGCTGGTGTGTCGCAAGGCCTCCGTCCAACACCTGCCGCGCACATTAACGATAGGAGGTAAGGACACAGGTAAACACAGCACAGCCCGACAGAAGCGTGCCATGATTCAACACAGCCTAGTTTTTCCTTCCTCGATAACGAACTGCCTACCTGGAGGACATTACGTCCAAAAGGTGTTAATTGTTCACATACAATTAAGTGATGCCAGTGAAGATGATTTGGAGACAAGAAGAGTACTTATGCGGATACCGTTAGGGATACGCTTTTGAACTGCAGAATGACGTGACCAAAAATCAGACCACAAAAGCCTATAGACGGTGTTTCCACCTACGCGGACTACTTGATAGGCATGTCGGAACTGTTATGCATTCCGTCCCATAAAAGCGCGGAAAACAGGTCCGCCCTTCGAATCATAGGGATGTCGATTTTTGGCTGTGGCTTCCAAGCTGTATTATATCCTAGCCTTTAAGCAAGGGAAAATACAGGTCTCCAAATACTTAATCACGGCCACTTATTACACTATGTCGGCAAATTAGGTGAGATTCATAATCAGTAACGGATTCTAGTGTCCAGTAATACGCTGCGGGTGCACGTCTCCTCCGCTATTTTCAGAGGCATATGCCGTTCAAAGGTGTTATCATCCAAAAACTTCGGAAAAAGCCATTTATCGAACTCAAGCTTAGTATGCAACCACTGCAATTCGACATGGGTGCTTTGAGCGGCAGACTTCGCAGTCTCCCAACACTGCACGCTTGCGAGGTTGCATCCGCCCAACTGGCAATTAATGATAGCGTACGAGATCGCAGCAAACTCCTAGACGGCCTCCAAATTGAGAGTAAATTCCGCTATTCTCGAACATGACATCCCTTTCTATTTAACTCGAAACTAGCCTACCAAATTGCGGTTCCGTCACAATACAACGCTACTTGCTTCGACATTTATCCAGTTGTATCATGGCCACGGCAACTGAAAAACGCTGGTATTAAGGTAGAGTTTACTCTTTCTAGAAGACCTATCACTTCTCATAACCTCGACCAAGAATGCGGCGACATGACAAGAACTAGCAGAATGCGCTGCGTCTCCGAACCGTACTCTCCTCGGAAAAGCACCAAAAGATCCGCGATTGAACCTACAGCGAGTCAGGAAACGACCCCAGGGAAGTGTTGTACAGCACCCTTGGCAGAACAGGAGGGATTTAAAGTCACATGCGTCAGAAAGTATTACGGAAACACCCCTACACGCATAGGATGGATTTCTGGAAATATGGGCATACGATGTGCAGGCTGTGCTGAGGACACAGCTAGATGATCAGGGACAAAGTTAGATTGCTTAAGAACACAAGAAGAATCGTTTGCATGAAGGGATTGGGAGGGGGGAATGGGACGATGTGGATGAGGAATGTCACCCTAGCATAGGTGAAATCAAGCCAAGAGATTAAATATCAGTGGGACGAGGTGAGTGTGAAATTGGTCAGGCCACAACCAGCCGATGGGAATGTTATCACAGGAGCATGACGGTGAGCTATTCCTGTTTTTTGTAGGATGGGGGCGGCAGAGGTGGCTGCCGCAACGATTGCTGCGTTGTGCTAGCTGAGTGACCGCCGCCAAGGCCGCTGAGGTCAATATCGATGAGAGCAAAACCTTCACTGCTTCCCCCAGCACCACTGCTGACAACATTGTCACCGCCACCGCCATCAACACTGACCTTTTCACCCGTCCCCGAGTACGGGTGATCACCAGCTGGCATGCTGTCACTGCCACGATGTGCATCAAAGTCGGAGAGAACGTCCGCATAGGATGGCCAGGCCGGAGTAGTTGTAGTAGGCGGAGGAATGCCATGGAAGGGCGGTCGGTGTGGCGGCAACGGTGAGCCTGAGGGTGCCTGCGAGAAATGGTGTATATCGGTGTTGGCCACTTGTTCGTGCGGGTCGTATAAGCTCCTCGGGAAAGCTGCAGCAAATAGAGTAAAAAGAGGTAGACGGTTCACAACTAGTAAAACAACTACGTTCGCAGTACGACCGGTACTTGGGATATGAAACAGAGTGAGGCTGACCTAGTTCGATTTAGCGTTTACTCCCCCTCACTATACGAAACGTGGGAGGATAAACGTCGTAGCTTGGGCAACTTCGAACTGGCGGGTTAACTTGGTTTCCTTAGGGCTGAGGGCGAAGCTACAACGGCGCCCTCTTGTTCGGTTATTCACGTCAACCCCCCCGATTAGAGGTTCAAGAGCCCTACTTTTGGAGTTCGGTCCATGTGTAAGGAGCTAACCAGACACGGCAGTTACTACACCCACATCCATTCCCGAACGTCCTGAGCCTGCCTTACCGTTACAATAGGGTGGATGCGAGCAAAAAGAGTGAATTAGGTGTTGAAACCTAACGTACACGACAGTCGGAATTGTATGGTTCGAACAATTGCGTTCTTTATCCCTCACGACGGATGAAGATCATGGTTGGTGAAAACACCCGCAAGTTTCAATACAATTTTGACTTTGATTAGTGCATGAACGACTAGAAAAGATGCGTCGCAAGGAAGCCTACCTTCAGGCGATGAATTAGTAAAATTTTATGATTTATACGTCTGCACCAAATGAAAGCAAATAGACTTCAAATAATGCCCCTTAGGGAACACAGATGTATGCAAGTCTGAGATGTAATATTCATGAAATTGGATTTTCAAAGTAAAGTCTGAGGAGAGGAATCGGGTAAAAGAAATATCTGAATGGCGGCTGGCTTGTTCACCTGCAACTTTGGGGGGAGGGGAAAGGGCACACTCTGTCGGCTATGAATGTGACAGGCGAGGGAAGGTGACTTTTGCCTATCTGATGCGACCACAGAATGGAGTACGAGCATACCTTTTGGTCTTTGGTTTACATCTCAGTCTAGAGCTCAGTTTGAGACTCATAACGAGAAATAAACTGGAAAAGTCCACCTCCGTTTACGGCACATCTCTGTTTCTTTCAAAGAAGAAGTAACTCCTTAATAAATCATAGTAAAACTTTCGGTTGCTAGGAATTAACTATACCAGGGGACTTTATAAAAAAGGAGGAAATTCAGAGCTGACTATATAAACGTGAAAGCGTGCGTTTCTGACCAACAATAAGAGCCGCCCATACCATATACGTACCCGGAGAAGCGTAGAGTGGCTGCTTAGCTAATCATGTTTTCTAGGAAATTGAGATGTCTGATAATTTTGTGGTGGTAGCTTGAAAACGAGCATGTAACCTCAAACGTGAAACGGATTGGTCATTTGCGTAGCCTAGTCCTCCGAAGTAATCAACATGGGTCAGGTGGTACGGACGATGCACAGATATGTGTAGCAGTGTGTAATGAGAAGACATAACCTGAACAGATGAGTCCTACCCGCAGAGCGGGCAAGTGACGATAAGTGGCGCGTTACGGGTTAACCAAGTGTCAAAAATGGTCTATTTAGTGACCCAAAAGGAGTCAATTTCTTTGAAGGAGGATATATGCCAACCGGTTAACGGGTCTGCTGCCAAACTGTACATGGACGCAGGGTTTTGATACGCTACTATGCCTCCCAATAATGACAATGACGAACTTCATTAGACGTCGTTCAAAAATCGAGAAAAAAACCGCAGCTCATTACGTCCCTTGTACGATTAGTCCCGGATCTCCGTTCCAGGGCACACGTTTGGGATTGCCTGGGTCCCACCGATTTCTACCGGTAGTGTGAAGACAGATGTCTCAGGAAATGCTTGACGAGTTGAATAAGGGCAAATTAAAATGATATGATAGCCTAATCCAATACATGGAGACCCAAAGAGATAGAAAACACCTCGTGGATGATTAGTCCGACTCATTTAGTGCAACTAAACGTCGGTGCGGGGCTTCTACTAAACAATAATAACTGAACTATTTTAAGTCGGAGGAGGTGCAATGCCGTATCTAATTAGTCCAGGTATAAATGCCCTCAAACAGGCGATACCTAAGAAGGGAATATCTAGCTTTTCCGGCAGATTTGTGTGAAAATTAAATTTTTCAGAAATAATGTGCAGGCAATAAAGTAAGCCCGTTAAATTCAATAATGTATGGGTAAGTCGGGCACATTGCAGTTGCGCCATGCGGCCACGAAAAACTGGCAAAAGGGGTCTACCTAGTGTCGGCGTTGGGATTATGGTGAAACTGATGACCGTGCAGTGTGTTGGATGTTGGGAGTTGAACTGCTGGTGCGGTGAGTGCTGGTCAGCCTTTATCCCTCGCGACGGAGGAAGATCATGGTCGGTGAAAACACCCGCAAGTTTCAGTACAATTTTGACTTCACCAAATCCGTGTTAACCGGGGGCTTGTATGAAACACATTTCGGTAACACATTATTGTTGAGACACCTGTGCAGAAACCGGACCTGCGAATACATGGAGGCCTCCCGAAGGGCGAAGGTTTCCCATCGCCGGGCCGATCGCAGCGCATTGCGCCCAAATACATTGCCAATAGAAGCGAAGAGCCGAGTCCCAGGAAGTAGTCTTGAAGAAGGAGACACGATCGCTGGAACAAGAGCTTTAATAGCCTGATGTTTCGGATTCCTGCTCGAACCCATCATCCTCACCACCCCTATCTGCCTTTGTCTCTGATGATGGGTTCGAGCAGGAGTCCGAAACATCAGGCTATTAAAGCTCTTGTCCCAGCGATCGTTTCTCCTTCTTCAAGGTCTGCCTAGTGCCTGCGTTGGAAGTATGGTGAAATTGATAACCATGAAGTGCGTCGGATGTTGGGGTTGAACTGCTGGTGTTGGTGAGTGCTGGTCAGCCTAAACGAGAAGCCAGCTATGCGTTGCTTCTGTAAGGCGCAAACTAAAGGAGTCAGCCTGGACGCTTGATCCCCCTTCAGATCCAGGGCATGCAGAGAACCTAACGTCGCCAGCGGAGAGCGGTTAGAATGGAAAGGACGATGCACAATGAACTCAGCGAACTCCATGACTGACGGCTACTTCAAATCACTTCCGGCAAATAATTTTCCGTAAGTAATAGAGATCGAGGATGGCTCTCTCGTGTACGACAAGCAAATAATTTTCTGTCGTGTCAGAGATGAGCTCAGTGTTGCCCATCCGACGTTAGTTACAGCTCAGGGGATGGGTGTCGCCTCGCTGGACACTGAAAATGACAGTGGCATATGCTAAACTCATTTTCCCTGTCCCAGTTGCAATTTCTACGACCACCGTTAGCTTTGATGGAACGGCACTGGCCAGATCGTCAAAGCTCCCATCGTCTTTCAGAGGGTTTCTGGTAACAACCCGCTTCAATTTTAACCAATAACATCTCAATGGAAGGAGAATTACATCCGAGTGGAACGGGTCGCAAGATGTAAAAAACAACATACAGGTGAGAAAACTAACCCGTAGAAGTTGGCTGGAAGGCCGAAGGTATAGGCGACGACGTAGGAACAGACAATGGTCGAACTGTAGGCGTTGGCGTACTGCTTGCTCTGGTTGTCTGGCTGGGGTCATCGACAGCAGGCGGCCGTGGTACCGGCACGATCGGCTCAAAGGCGGCTGGTGGTTGCTGTCGTGATGGTGGCCAGACAGTGCTTAAGTTGGGCAGAGGATTGCCTGCTTGGCTGCCGCTGTCCACGGATGTAGGTTGATCGATGAGTGCACCCTCCAGAGTAGACACCATGTCGGCAGAGAGTTTAGTTGATGCGGGGAGGGAAGAAGACATCGACAGCAAAGTGGGCCGATGTGGGCCACGGAAAAGTTCGGAGAGTATGAATAGGACACAGTCCTGTGACTCCCAGTATACGGCGTGACTCGTCAGAGCAAACAGATAGTCATTCAGGCTCTCGAGAGGAGCCTCCTAAGCGGGGAGAGGAAAAAGCTCACATAGAAGAGGTGGGCAAAATTGGTAAGAGAGCCTAGCATCGAGGCTTTGAAGGAGGTCGACTCGAGTGGGGGGAGCCCTTGAGTGATTAGTCTATGTTGGGGCCTGAATCTTAATAGTTTAGTCTGACTGGCAGAAATATTACCGGTCCCCTTTGAACAAACCCCAAGCTCCATTGCGTCCTGTGAACGCAACAACCCCCAACACCACTGTAGTCCAAAAAATGAACATAAGGTAAAAAGTATCATTTCAGAAGTTGATAATAAGATGCGACCGTCTACCTGAAGAAAGTAAGTATGAAAAACTTACATATTTTCTTCAGGATGGGTGTTACATTTTGGACCTTCCATTTAAAAGTCAATTTGGCAAACACGTGTTTCCGGTAACTCTTCATCAGGCCAAAGCGGTTACATAGAAGTTTAAACTATGCGAAGTTACAGGGTTTATATGTGATTCAGGGGCTATTAAAACCCATCGTTCCCACGCCACTCGCATGACGAGGCGTGCTATGGCGTGGTCGGGGTGTAGTGGTTATTGGGTCAAGGGGGAGGGGGGGGGGTGTAGGCTGTGAGTAATGTTTGTACGTCGGGTACGTCGTGCACACCACTGCCATCAGAAGGTTGCGGCGACGTTGGGGTCGGCGTTGGCCACGGAAGACAGAGCGCCTGTGTCAGAGTCTTCTGACAGCATAGCGCTGGATTGGCTAGCCTTATAGCCACTGCCTCGGCTGTAGCTAGCACCCGTTGGCTTAGGCCTCTGGAGAAGCTTGCTGATGTCCGGTAGACAACCTGAAAGGCTTCTTTGGCGTCGACTCGGTGATTCGTATCGACAAGATGTGCGAGAATAGAACTCTTGATCGATTTCTTTTCACCTCTGCCTAGTCAGGCCGGTATGTGTTCACGTACTCTCTTTTCCAGGCGCCTCGTTGTACGGCCAATGTATCCCGCTCCATATAAGTAAGTGAATGAGTAAACACACATCGATTTGGCCTACAACGGGAGTCGGTTTTTACCTCCCAAGCGTAGGAGGGGAGAGTTCGTGAAACACACGTAAGTTCGCCGCGGGGAAAGCGCCAGTGATCGCTGTCTTCAGACGTCTTCTTAGTAGGTCACTTGCTGCGTCCCCTTGAAAAGTTACCGAAAACACGTATTTTTCCAAATTGGCTTTTCAACTGTAACATGGGAATATTCGCTGAACTTAGACAATCCAAAGATCCTTCCATTTAGTTTATTCGATGACTGCACTGTCAACTGCGTCTTAAGTAACGTTTAAAATGATAACACCAGACGATTAAAAAATAGTGATATGGTGACGGGGCACAATGGGCGTTGTAAAATCAGTGAATTAACCTACATTTAAAATGCAGGCCTTCGTTTCTGTCTGCGAATCGTAGAAGACCGGTGCCGGTGGTAACAACTCCCATACCACCATTAGTCGTACAAATGCACCGGTCATTGTGACATTTTATGTAGATTCTACTGATTGTAAGGATCTAGTACTTTCCAGGAACGGGTCTGGTCTCAAGCCTATTGAGCTGTACCACAGGTCTAATGATTTGGCGGCGATCCTTCCTTACAGAGTCCTCTTAGTACAGGATCACGAGTGTATATACTTGTGTAGGACATAGTTCTATCTTGCCTAGTAACAATAAGTGAGATTTAGCTCCTATCGTTCCTTTCATAAGTACTGCTGCCTTAAAACCATCGCAATCAGGTGGACAAAATTCGTCGAGGCCTTCAGTCCCTGAATGTCGGTTTTTATCGTTGAAGAAAAAGAAAACATCGGCTTCACGAAAGCAGCCATGTATGAACAAGCACTGCCCATGACATGGTGGATACCACCTGGCGTATTAAGTAGGAGGTATTCTACGGTACTAACGATGACAAACTAACACAGGCGTCTCGTACAAGCTCACTCGTAATTGCAAATTGGGTATATATGCATACAAAGCAAAAAACGCCTGAGATGCCGCATGGAATCAGGCGAGTAACTATTCGAAAAAGCAAATTCCAAAGGCAAAAGTCAACGCGAGGCATGTAGCCCACAAGACGGGCTAATGTCTAGCCAAAACAGACTTGTATGATGGTACTACAGAAGGCACACAAGCGTGCACAACGACAAGTGATTCAAGGTAAGCAAGTGTAACTGAGGACACGCGATTAAAGTCACTGCCTCAGCATCTGGACTCCGACACTGTTGGGTGTCACTGTGAGATGCAGAAAAATAACGTAAGCTGTTGGCTGAAGAGGGTTTGCGTGGCAGTGAAGAGTTGACAAAAGTGAAGGAGAGGTCGATCAGAAGACTACATTGACACCAATTTCTGTAGAAAGGTTACTAGAGTGGGGATGCACCTGGTGATTCTGGCTTGCTCTGAGAGGCCTAACGGCTCATGCCAATTCCGCCTGAGAAGAGGCACTGCGTAAGTCATGCTTTGTGTCTGCGGTTATCGACAATTACGTAGTGCCGGGTGCTATGCCTAGAGGGACTGCTAGAGGTCCATCTGTCCTAGCTGCTTCATTGCAAATCGTTTGAGGAAATTCTGGAGTTCGAAAAACCTGCCTAAAAATCTCCATTTGACACGATATAATTGTGGTAATAAGTGAAAAAAACTCTGCGGCGTTGTTGACGCTACTCAAAACCCATGTCAAGATACTAGATACTAGCATGGATAGTGAGATTAAGCCATATTCTGTGTAATGCTTTTCGTCTAATAGTGCATATCACTATATACACAGCTAATGTATTCTTGTTGCAGCATCAAATGCATTTTCAACACTGTTTTCCTCACCATTTTTCGGGGAAAGGTAAGGCATGAAAGCCCCCTAATCGTCAGTCTTGACTTATCAGAAAGGCTTTGCTATCTGCGGTAGGGCCATTTAGCTAGCAAGCTGCGAAAAAATCTCAACAGAGAAAAATTCGTCTTAGGAACCATGACTGAATCAGACCGGTGTGGCCTATGCTGCGATGTGCGTTAGTCCTCTGGATGGCATTAAACCACCAGAGACTCTGGTATCATGCAGTGAAAAGAGGATCCTTGACCTGGTAGCTGGGAGCTAAGATATATGTAAAAAAATACCCCGGTACGACAGCAATCATCCCCTAGTAAAAAAGCTGGACTGCGATACCGGCATTCGCCACTAGTTACGAGACTATCAGAGCTAAAACAAAGAAATGGAATAAAGAGATAATAAAACATGCCTTCCGGCGGCCATACATTTAAGATGCGCAAAAACACACGAACTATCACAGCACTTATATCGCTAAGTAACAATAACAGGAACGAATTGGTGTAAATGCGCCTGAGTCGCAATCAGCACGGCATAAAATCGGTTAGAAAGCAATTTCGTCGCCTTACAAACGAGTCAAAGTTTACAAGGCTCCATCGCCGGCAAAAAAGACCACGCACCTGAAGAACAAAGTCGATCCGCCGGCCTTGGTTCAACTGACTTGAGAAGAGGTTGGGATCGTCAGGCGACTGCGTCCCGTCATCGCGTTCCACGGAGGCTGTTGTCAGTGAGGAATCACTCGACTCCTCCCCGGCAGTGAGTCGAGATAAAACTCTCTTTATGGCGTCCGACTCGTCTTCTGTAATTTCGCTGGTGGGCGATACTTCACTGTTAGTGGGTGCTGTGCTAAGAGAGAGATAAGGAGAGGCATATGGGGTCAGAATTATGCTGGGTACCGAAAATGACCTCAACATTAGGTTGTCTAACACAGAAAGTAAGCGAAAATCCACAAAACTTTTCAGTGGTTCATAAAGCAGACCCAAAATTATCGCGCAAAAAAACTATCATAAATGAGCGATCTGCACCCGGAGGACGTCAGCGCTCGCGACGTTTGGACTTCCAGGCAGTTAGAACCTCATAAGAACATAAATAAACACGACTTGGGTGTTGTAGCCGGGATGGTCATTCAGCAGACTCAGGGTGGCCCACCTGACGACCTCGGAAGTTGTTGATGGGGAAAAGGCTTTACTGTGAAATCTAATTAAATGAACAAGTAAGGAGGCCAGCAACATGGTGACATAAAAGTAGAAGTTTGCGGTTCCATCACAGGAAATAGCGGCTACGCGGCACTGAAAGAAGACCACTGTTTAAACAGCCACATCTGGTAGGTTTGTGACCATTTGACAAATGTTGGAGTTAGTGAGCAACCGAAGTACATAAATATGACTGCCAAACGACTACTGCAATTGAGGCAGACTACAATGAACCAGCATATTCCGCGTTGTCGTGAGGGGTCAGTAGACATCATAAGTTGACAAACTGTGCCCGTAACTGACATTTGGAACATTATAGAAAATAATGTCCTATTCGAAAGGAGCGTCGTGAAGAAAAATACAGAAATTGACGGAACTCAATAAATGTGCGTATATTCATGAAAAAAGCCCTAGTGACTCGTAAAACGGGTCGATGGGAGTCGACCGAACTGCCCGATTAATAGTGAATTACCTGTGCTCAGATAGAAGTACAAAAGAAGTATTGGCAGCAATGTTAGACTGCTTAGAAATAACCTTTTTATGTAAAAAAAAAACAGAAATACAGAAAACACGAAAGTTCTTGTCGAGTTGATAAGCTTTATTTGTCCGCGCAAGTAACCGGGCAAACAACACAGGGTAAGCACACCAACGTTACGGAAGACAGCTTACATTGCCCCCGGACTAAATATTCCTCAATAATCAACGTAATATACAGCTAGTCAACCAGTAAACTGGGTGGTGCTTAGCTACTTTTTAAAACCAGTCCATGAGCATTCGGAGTAAGTCTGCCGTTTTTGCATTATTTGAGAAGCAGTTGACTATAAAGAGGAGTTCGTTTGACGTCACTGCTAGAAATGTCACAGGAATAAGAACTTTTACAGGGGCACACGTTAAGAGACCGGTCACTGACTAAGAAACTGGGAAATTATAAAAGTAATCGTGAACATGAGATTTTCTGTATATCAGGGGATCCCTCTTGGATAAAATTATTGTGGGCTGGACAACGATTAGGTTTCCCCGATCACAGTAAACCCCTTCCTAATAATTTATATCGCAAAAATAACTTATGGAGTATTTTGCAGACAAATGTCCACGTCCCCTGTCCTTTCTAGAGTAGTCTCAGCAAGAAAGTGAAGCGCTTTACGTGTTCAGGTAAGTCCCTGACAGACACTGGCTAGTTTTCTGTCGGAAACATAAAAACTACCTTTTTGTTTATTTTGGAGCCCTTATTCATCATCTTCGCGTAGTTATAGACTCCGTCCTGCAAACGTAAATACACTACTAAAAGGTCTCTCAAACGAGTAAAGCGATTTCCTTCCGTTTTAAGGTCACGTACTAGCGGAGACCGAATAGCACGAGAACGTCTTACCATGTACCCACAAATTTAACTGGACATTTACTGGTCAACTTCTTCGCAGTCGGCTGTGCGGTATTTCTGCAAGTCTGGACATTTCGGGTGTGTTCAAACAAAGGATTTCCTGCTGGCCTTATTACTGCTTCCCCGGGAACTTACTAAATGGAACTTTCAAAAAAGCCAAACTTCTGCCTATCTGAAAATAACACCCTTAGTCGTATCTCCTCTCACTTAATTTGAGCGGACCAAGAAATTAAGGCATAAGTTAGCAGACGTCTTGTGACAAGCACGTAGGTTAACAACTCCTTTCTATAGAAGCATACAAAAATGGGCAGATCTGTTTTAGGAGGGCTAGCAGCACAGGAAATCGCCGGAATACAAAGTGGTATCGGGGTATGCTTAAAATTGTGATCTTTTCGCAGGTAAAGTGGTACAAAAACATATTCTGCGTGAGTATAACGCGTTGGGTATCAGTAAAAACACACAACGTCTGACGTAGCCGGGACTGATAATCTGTTTTAAACATTTGAACGCCTGCGGGAGGGATGCATCCCTGGTTAAAATAAAAACATGCAATTCTTTCTCTTCCTGTCCGTATGTGTGGCAAGCAGCAGGCGGCCAGTCGAGTTAGAATCCACTGCGCACTTCCATCACTATAAACGAGGAAATGCGCTTCCCAACAATCTCGAGACGTTGCCAAGCCTGGACTGCCAAGTAAGGGAATTCTCCTCGCGACCGCAGCGCAAGCCGTAATGACTGCTTACTGCTACTATCGTTGCAAGCTTTTTTATATGAGGTCTGACATCCCCAATCTTTAATTGGGGCCCGATTTAGACGCAACTTGGAAACAGGTTAGGTGTGGCATGAAAACACAGCCTACGTAGCTTTGTCAGTTACTGCACCAACGCCCGTCTCTGCTCGTCTGGACTGCGCGTTGTCCTTGAAACACGGCGGGTGGGGAAAAAGAGGGTGAAGTAGATGGTGCCTAAGTCTACTTCACTGTAAGCAAATGCAGGCTCAATTCACAATTGTGTCTAATCCGGGACAGTAATGAACCTAGTGCCTTAAGGTCGAACCAAGACTTCATCCTAACTCTTCTGCCGAGTGCACCGACACTCTCCCCTAAGCAAAGTCAACTGTGAACGGTAAGGAACGTCAAGAAAACGCCACGACAGGCTTGTTGGTAAAACTGCAGAAAGTCAAGTGCCAATATGCGAGGCTGAGTGCTACTTACGTCATGTGCGCAGAGGCGAACTCCTGCAGGGTGCGCCATGTAGAACGCAGGGACTCGTAGACACGCGACTTGATGTCGGCACCCACGCGTGCCAAGTTGTCTTTCAGCTCCAGATGGAGTCGCTTTCGACCCTTGTGGTGCGGCATTAGGACAGCGCAAGGCTGGTAAAGAAATCAAAAATGGCGGCTGGTTATGTCATCTGACCTCATAATAGGTTTAGATGTAAGTTTAGCTGGCATGCAAAGATATTGCACTTTTGTGAAGGTAGACGATGTCTATGCAAAAATGCCCAGCATAGGGCAAAATGACAGTCAGTTAGGCGCAGGGCAAAGTCCAGCAGATGATTCCGATCCGGGGGAAGGGTAGCCTGAAAATTGATGCCATAAGTAATGTTTGCGGGAGAATTTTGGCTGCGTTTGGTGCTAAACAACAACGACGCACTAGCAAAACATTGGCAAAAGCAAACAATAGGATGAGTGTGCCTGATAAAGACAGCGGTGAGATTGGAATTAAATTTTTGGTCTATTTGCCGTCATCAGCTAGTTTCGGCTCTGTCGGCATTCATTCCGGTTATTGCAACTGCATACATAGACCGTGGATTGAGATTTCCAAAGAAACTTTAAAGCCCCAGCAATGCGTCCTGTGGTCAAGATAGATGGCTTAAAACCACTTACATGTGAAGTTGTATATATTCTTTTCAAGCCAGCATGTTATTCTACCGGGTTTCCTTACTTCTACACACACATACATACGTGTAAGTAACTCATTTCGTACAGCCATGCTGGTCTAAAAAAGCTTATAAGGCCAAGTGCATTGGTGATGTATCCAATCTAGCGACCTAACGTTCTGAATGAGGCCGGACGTACTGGTTTTCGCAGCAAGACATCCGTGGATTGTGAACTCTTTATAATAAAAGGGTGGTCAGCCATGATGAAATTCTGCCATTTATACTGTACGATTCTTGACTATCATCCCTCGATTTAACCTACTTCCTGACACCTAAGCATGTGATAAACAACTAATATAGCTGCTTTCCGAGCCTCTACAAATAGGTGTAAAAGTTTTAGTGGAGAACAGGGGCCAGATGGTTGTGCATCAAACTGTAGGGAAGAATACTGCTTTAGAAGGGTTCGTGCATGCTCATAAGATTGGACTTGAACTGCCTTGGTCTTCGGATATCGACGTACGTAAAACAAAAGTTGCACTTTAAAAATATCATAATTAAGAGATAAACGGGTTAGGTGGACATATTACAATTACTTTGAGGGTTTTACAGGGCAGAAAGAGTATAAGCAAGCCACAAAAAGGATCAGCTCCCGTAGCAATGTTCCTCCATATAGGCTCGGACGAAATACATCCCTAACCTAAAGAGATGTCTTCATTTTCACTATTTGTTGGATATTAGAGGCGAAACACACAGACCCAGACATTTTAAGGTCAAAATTGGCTCACTTACAACTTGTTAGTAGACATGTACAATAGATGTCGACAGAGATTGAAAAACAGGATGGTGACTACTGGCTTACCAGTCGTCGTCGTCAGCCAGGTTATACGAACGTGGGGTTGGTACATAACAGACCAACGACAGCTAGTAAGTCAAAAATGACTGTCCAAGTGTCCCCGATTTTCGTTAATATTTATTCTTCACTAATACAGGCGCCTATTTTGTCTTAGAGGGTTCTAGTAAAGGCATAAAGGTCCAACAGGTCAAGAATGCTCTGTACTCTTGATTGATAAACGACAACCACGCTCTAGTTAAGAAAAATGTTTGTTCCGCGTAAGTGCAAATATGCGAATCCCCCCGTGTGTGATTCGGAAAGTCAAGAGACAGGTCGAACACCTGGAAGATGATTATGACAAAATACACGGCCCACTCTAGATCCAACATCTCAAGAATATTCTTGAATTGTGTTGGTACCTGGTGAATAGCAAAAAGGAACTCCAATTGGCTGCCAAATCTCTGGCCTGGTCTATAGAAGCAACAGATTTCATCAATTAGCACGAGCTCGGAGGCTAAGATATGTCAACTTAAGGTTCCGATGTCAGAATGCCCGCCGACTACGAGTCATATTTTCGTTCAAGAGCAATCTTCCCATTTTAGACAACCTACCGGTCCCTCCCCTCTGACGGTACCAACGTAACTTGTAGAAGTCGTGGAGACGATATCCGTCCCTCAGCAACTTATTTGACATTGCTTTTCCCAATAAAGTCATGCAGCCAGCAGTTTTCAGGAGCTGCTGGGCTCCCAAGAGTCATGCCAAACGTCAATTCTGTTTGAACCCGGGCTGTTATAAGGTGTGGAATACAAAACTAAAAAGAAGTGTGTATAAGGGGAATCACAGAAAAATCTCAGCAAATCACACAGAACACAAGTTATTGGGAAGTACCTTGAAGTCGGGCACAATCATTGTTTCCATGCGATAGGCGACTGGATCGAAGGGGTGGAATATATTGAACACGGCAGAGCAAGTGGGCAGCCGATAGTCGTTTGGAAGTCTGTCAATTCCTCGAGCCGTGAGAAATACGGGCAGCGGTGATCCGAGAAGAAAGCAGGCCGAGACTGGAAAACCAAGCTGTGGGTACTGAAACACGGGCATTCCAACGCCCGCCGAGGAGGACTGATGGTTGGTCTTAGCAACGGCGTTGAGGACTAGTCGGAGCTGCTCGTCAGACAACTTTGCCTTGGCCAGCCTCCGGCGGAGATTATCCAATACACCTCTCGGCAGATCCTCTGCCCCCTCTGATGAAATGAAGACGTCGGGTGAGTCGCGTCTATCTATTACGGACTCATCTTCGGCTCTGTCTCCAGCCACCAGCGACCAGTCATCGTTTTCGGATTGTGCTGAGCCCGACTGAGGCTCAGAACCCTCCTCATCCTCCCCGGCGCCAACTCGACGTGAATTGTCAACGTCATCTCCCCCACCGCCGCCATCAGAAAAGTGACGCTGGTGCGAGAGCAGGTCGAACACAATAACCGCGCCCAAACTGTGTCCGATGATTGACAGCGTGCCCTGTAGAAGAGTGTGTTCACCTAAGCATAATCCTTTATTATAATACGATAGATTGCAAGGGACAATGTTTTCTGGTCTGTGTGAGCTCAAAAATAGTGGAACGGTAGTCTCTAAAAAGTCACCTTCCAGAGATAGTGAAGGGCTCATCTACAGGGTCCTAAGTTTAGTGGATGATGTTCGTTTCCTCCTGGCACCAAGAAGTCTCCAAATGGGTGAGAATAAACTTAAATTCAGCATTTGGGAAATATTGGAAAAATATTGCTAGAATGTGACATTTCGACCGTTGTGAACGACGTCCACCGTTTGCCCCATAGAACGAGCGCAGCACCGGTGGCTTTCACCTGGACCAGTTCATAGTGACGTCGACTTGCGCAGCATCTACTGCACTCCCCTCTCCATCACCATCCTGACGGATACTAGAAATTTTTGAACTGCCCCCATTTTCATAACCTCGCAACAGAGAGTTTCCACGGGTAGTCAGAAAAGGGCAAAGACGAGGTCACCAACGACATCTGCCCACTAGGTCGAGGCCTAAATCGATAGTGTGGGGGACAAAGGTTGAGCGGTAGCTAGCTTATTGGCGACGATTGCTACAACCCAGCAGAAAGTGTAAGCATAGGGTGAACCATGTGCACAGGGGTTAAAGGCGGCATACGAGAGAATAGCAAGCACTCTGGTCAGGTTGGGCAAGAAACAATGCAAACGAGGGGTGGGACGATTTTAGGGCAAAGCACTCACAGCAAAGTTTGGATTCCTTTGCAAGAAGAGACGCTTGAGGCGTGCTATGGAAGATGACACGGTGTAAGTGATGTGTTGGCAGTACTTTGGACTGGTGTAGAAGAGGATGTCAGTCAGTGTGCCGTTGGTGTAGTTGCGCAACTTGGGGATACTGCGCAAGGTGACACGCTTCAGCTGATTATTGATGCCAGTTGCCTCAGAGTGCAGGGCTGAATGCCACTGAACCGGCAGGAACTCAACTCGTCCGCTGGCCGAGGGAAAGTGGCTCGCCATCAGAGACTCGGCCGTCCGTCTGGCAAGCATAGGAAGATGTACACAGAACCATCGCAAATTTGGAATTTTTAGACAATACTTATCAGCTCTCCCTCTTGACATTCTATATTGCTACCAGTAAAGGTCGGCGTACAGTAAGACGAAATAGCACCTGTCAAAAATAGGGCCGCAGCTCAGAGGACCTGGTAGAATCGATTTCTCAGGAAGGTTTGGCCTATGCACGGGCTACGGGATTGTCTAATGACAAAGAAAAAATGGATGCGACTTGTTCGTTCGCTATCTCATGACTCTCCAGATACTATTTGTCAAATCACTGTACTTAAGGCGCTCGAATTTGACGAAAAAATGGGTTCTGACCATGCAGCAGTAAAGTTTTCAGGTTCGGCTGGACACTAAACTGGTAAACCGGTTACCTATGAAGTGACCATAGGCTATGGCAATATTAACCATAGTGAGCGATGCCGTCGTTTAATGGGAATTAACTCGCCGATTTCCAACACGACCCAGGAACCCTAAAATGGCGGACTGTAGGAGTAAATGGGAAAGTCCCTGCTCGAATCCAGACTCGAAGTAAAACCACCCACCCAAAAAGCCGCCCACTCAAACGACGTCCAGTGAGTGGTGGTTAGAGTAGGTTTTTGGACGTCTGGAGGGTGGGGTTCGGGTGGGCTGGAGGACTTATCGAAGGTCGATGGTACCATCAAAAGTGACTTCTTGTCCACGGGCAGCAGAAAATTCAACCTAAATTACCACCACACGCAGAAAGGAATCTTGCCAAACAAAACCAGTCAGAACTAACATCGGCATCCTGAGAGAGGCGCCTTAGTGGGACTGGAGAAAGGTTACTCCGCGATATCATAAATCAGAAGGTGTCATCGACGCCCCACATTCTAGCAAATATTAGTCGAATTTGTTATGGTCGGTGGTCGTGACTGGAAGTCTGAGCTACGGGTTCAAGTGTTAGGGAGGCAGGCATACCGATTCAAGGGTCGTCTAAAACTGACCCGTCAATGGTAGAGAGACGCTCAAGGCCACGATACTGGAAACACGTCCCGCTTTGTGCCCTGAGACTCAAACTCGAGACCTGCCAACAACCGCACAGCGGCTAGCTGACGATATGGCTGGCTGATGACAGTTAATATATCAGAAATGGCCACTCAAGTCTCTCTTCTTGTCGTTAATTCTATTCTGTCTGTATGCATCATCATCCGTTGTGCGGCTGTGGCAGGCCTCGAGACTGAGCCCCGAAGTACAAAGCGGGACGATTGTATCTCGTATCGCGACCAGTAAGCATCCCTCTACCACTGTATATACCCGATCGCAACCGACAGAGCAATGAGACCATGGCTCAGTAGGCAGGGCGTTGGACTTCTAACCTGCAAGTCGCGTGATCGAGCCCCAGGTTGCAGACCTCGGGGTTGGGCATGGTTGGCTGACGACGACCGATAAGCCAGAAGTGGTCATTCCTGTCTCCCTTGTCAGTAATGACATTCTGGATACACATACTCGCCAATATGTTGAGTCCTACAGCCAGCGCCTTATTGCTCACTAACTTCACTGGAGACCTTAAATACAATAATTTCCCAATATTCATCTTCGTCGGTGCATTTAGGTGGAACGGATTGACGGAAGAGGAGTGGTTCATCATTTCTGCATGGATGTGATTCAAGAAAGATAATGAAGTCTGAGGGTTATATTAACATGTCTGCAGCAAAAAGAGTATTTTCGGTATTCCAAAACAGAGAACTAACACAGAACTTGGATGACGGTAGAACGCCCATAAATAGTAAGGCACGGTAGGAGGCTCGAGTGGGCATATAACCATGGGAAAAAAGATCAGATTGGAGCGCTCAGTTGGGAAGACACGGAGGACAACAAAGGGACTAACCGCATATCATTGACGCAGTCAACAAGGCCTTCACCGCGAAGATTGTAGATGGAGCCGATGCCATGCACAACAAAAACTAAGTGCTCGACGGGGCGCTGATCACCTTCGGGAAGTTGGCTTTGCAGATCGGCATGCAGGCCGCGATGTAGGATACACAAATGACTCGCCTCATCGTAGCCTGATGGTGAAAAGGAGCTCTGCAACTCCGAAATGCCATTCAGGAAAGGGTAGGTGCGGTATTGGATCATCGACTAGTTGGAGGGAAATATCGCAATAAACCGGCTAGACATCGTACATTAAAAAATTGCAGGTTATCCAAAGCAAACTGGAAAAGCAGTATTGTTAAGCAATTTCGATAAACTAGGTCCGACATAAGTAAATTGAAACAAGCTGTGCACGCCAATGATTGCCTCAACTTACGGTTTTCGTGAGTAACTGTGGCCGTTGCACCCCCATGAGGGACAGAATGTATGCGTGAAACTGGTCAAAATTCGGGCTATAAGTCAAGAGAGCTGGCAAATGATTACTGCGATCCGCAGAAGAGGGTGATGGCGCATGCGGCAACTCCTCATGGCTATTATGAACTCTATTTAATTTCTACCAACTTATAGCACTGTCTCACTGGTTCCGGTAAACCTGTTGTTTACGACTTATAGACCTTAGGCTTGGATAGACTGGCGAATCGTTCTGCGTAACAATTCCACAGATCACAGGTGACCCTAAGTCAGGAGGTATTCGCCGGAGTTCAGTATGCAAGTACGGGTTACAACAGCCAGTAATAAAAATGAAAGCCGAGATCAGCCTTCAATGATCGCCAAATAAAAGTGGGGGTATAAATAGCGTAGAGGTGAGTATGTGGCAAGTTCGGTGACTGGGATGCATGAGCCGTCCTTTGTGTACGGCCAAACGGGGATCAACGACCCAGCTTCACAGCCTTCCTTGGGTGGCCACTAGCAGCAAGAACTGGTTCACTTTACGTATTCACGCTTTAAAGAATTAACATAGGGACGCCAAGTCAGCGAAATTTACCAACAGAACGCATGGCCTGCCACTGTGTAAACCTCCAGAGGACGGCGATCCTCATGTCACGGCAGCGGAACCGAAGCATGAGAATCTCAAAAGTGGTTTTGTGGCTCTTAGTAAATTACCCTCCCCAGCTTTTCTTCTTTTGACGAAGAAACCTACTGGAAGCAGAGATGACATTTTAAATTCTGGTTATTTTTATCACATATGCGTGAGGTGGGGGGAGGTAAAAGACGATAGAACGCCGAGGATAGTAACGAACTTTCTTATGAAGACCTTCTATTGGGGAAAATTTCTTTGAATGCCAGAAAATAAAGAAACAGCTCTTCCAATAGGGTTAGAAAGCCTTCTCAAAATGCGATAAAGCTGCAGTTTTTGCAGCGGACTTTTCGATATCAAAATGTCTTTTGTCACACGGTCATGCTTCCATATCTTCGTTCGAACGTATCAGAACTGGAACCTTACCTGTGGACTGTGGAATATGAAGGAGTCGGAGACGGTCTCATTCTCCTCTGAAGGCAGTTCGAACTTCTGTCCCCAGGTTCCGAACTCCACGGCCCTCCGATATTGCTCTTCCAGTTGGGAACATATGGTCTCAGAGAAGGGTAAAACTCGTTGCTCATTTTGTGGTCTAAAAAACGTAAAAACAAAAGGCGCACAAGTAAGGACAAATATAACAGCTCTAAATATCTACTTGCCTGCGTCTAATTCTGATGGCTTGCACCTCAATGAGAGGAACATTTAATAAACACTTTTCTAAAAAACGAATGTTCAGTCTGAAAACAATGTTTCTGGTGATCCTTATCTGTGATCCTTTCCGGTGATTTTTATCGCGAACAACATCTGACAACAGTGTAGACCCCTATGATCGATTTTCGACTTGGCGGTCCAAAACATCCTTCAGACGGTTACCGCCAGCGGCAAACTATACAACACAACCGGCATGAAATGGCTGTGGCAGAATAAAATATTCGCACTTAGTACTTGAAAAAAGTTATGAATTCAAAGGTAACACGCGTAGGGTGACGTTAAGCTATTTGAGCAGTTCATTCGACCCCCGCTAACCAGCCGGAAAAATTGAGGCTTACATTTTGCTGCTACTGTCATTGTTTAAGTACAACTACGACGCAAAATAAAAACTTAATTCACCCCCAAAGTATTTTTGCTGACAAGTCAAAGACGATTAAAAGCTGCCCTCAAAGTCAAGTTACTTTTTATCGACTTCCCGCTGTATTAGGACAAATGCTCTGACGTAGTTAAACGCGAATTGCTCCGTAATTACAAGACAAAGTCCATAAACAATACGTGAGCTTTATCGGCGATCTACGTGTTTCGGATTGATAGTCCACAACCAGCTGTACTGCAGAAACGTAGGACCGAAACAGGAGTCCGTCTCGCTCACGGCAGGAATTTTCGAGTTTTCGGTATTCTCGCTTTCCTTAGGAAAATAATTATTTTTAATAAACGAAGCGGTATGTGAATTACTTATCTAAGGTATCCGTTTATCCGGAGGTTGTTCATTAGAAGTCTCTTTTTGATGGATGAGTTCAAACCGGTTTCAGATAGGGTAGTGATTTTTCGTTAACCTAGACATATTTCATGAGTTAGGTCACCTACTGTAATGTACTCCATGGCAATCAGTTAACTGGTTGGTGTTTATTAAAGTAGTTTTATGAGGACTCGATGTAAATTGTCCGTTTTTGCATTGTCCGAGGTGCAATCGATTATAAAGTGGAACTATTTTGGTCTCACAGTTAGAAGAGTCCCGGCAATAAAACCGTCCATATGGATACATGTAGAGAATTCGATCAATGACTAAAGAAAGCGGAATATAATAAGCAGACATAATCGTAAACATGCGATTTTCGGAATATCAGGAGAATATCTCTTGCAATAAAGTACCGTGCGCTGGTCTTCCTTAATAATTTGTATCCAAAAAGTGTTTTGTTAGAGTATTTTGCAGATTAGAGTCTACGTCACACTGGCAAGTTTTCTGCCGGAAACGAAAAAACCAACTTCTTTTTCTTTATTTTGGAGCCCTTATTCACCATCTTCGCGTAGTTATAGACTCCGTCCTGCAAACATAAATACATTACTAAAATGTCTCTCAAACGAGTAAAGCGATTTCCTTCCGTTTTAAGGTCACATACTAACGGAGACCGAATAGCACGAGAACGTCTTACCATGTACCCACAAATTTAACTGGACATTTACTGGTCAACTTCTTCGTAGTCGGCTGTGCGGCATTTGTGCAAGTCTCGACATTTCGGGTGTGTTCAAACAAAAGATTTCCTGTTGACCCTATTACGGCTTCTCCGGGCATATGACTACATGCACTTACTAACTGGAAATGTCAAAAAAGCCAAACTTCCGCCTATCTGAAAATAACACCCTTATTCGTATCTCGTCTCACCTAATTTGAGCGGACCAAGAAAGTAAGTCATAAGTTAGCAGACGTCTTGTGGCAAACGAGTAGGTTAACAGCTCCTTTCTAGAGAAACATGCAAGAATGGGCAGATTTGTTGTAGGAGGGTTAGCAGCACAGGAAATCGCCAGAATACAAAGTGGTGTCGAGGTATGTTTGAACTTGTCATCTTTTCGCAGGTAAAGTGATACAAAAACATATTCTGAGCGAGCAAAGGTCTTTTGCATACGCGTTGGGCTCATAAATGAAATGCATTACGTCTGAGATACCTGGGCCTGATTATCTACGGTTTATCAGTTTGGTCACCTAATTTATACACGAAAATATCTGGACAAAAAGAAAGTGCCTCCACTAGCAGATTCTTAATAGGCACTTTTCTCCAAAGGTGATCGTCGTGAAATCAGTGTGATGAGGAGCGTTTTCAGGTTACTATCCGAAACCCCAGTTAGAAATTGGGGGGAGCTCTCAAAAGGTCTCGAATGTTACGAGGCAACATTAAAAGGATGTATAATATCTTTGCCTCTGATCATGCTTTTGGGTTTACATTTTTCTTTATAGTCAAAACAAGTAATTGATGCCAACCAAGAGGTTTTGGTTGTCCAGGTAAAAAAGGTCTGAAATGAGTTTTTGCGGCTAACCTGAATAACAGTATCCCCCCTCCCCTTAAACATACAAATTCAAAATCAAAACCGCCAATGATGAATTTTGGCAGCGAATACAATGCACCTTACTAAACGCATGACTGGGGACAACGTTAAAATAACAACGAAAGTGGGGTCGGAGGGTGGAAAAGAACCTCACTGTAGATGAGGGTCGAAAGGTCTACACAGGCATAATTTACCAAAGTACAAGCAGGCGCGTCAGGTTGGACTTCTATGAGCAGATCTGTCTGACAAATATGGGCCATATGAGGGTGGTGTGTCTGCAAACGCGCTCAATTGGAGATATCTAATATAACGAGCAAAAGGTAGTCTAGGTCTCGTCAGATGGCCGCATTTCCGACACATGTCTGCCCTCAAGCTTTTTATGTCTGAAATCACAAATGCTTATTTTCTCAAGCAACTGTAGGCCACTCTTTGGTAGTTATAGGAGACGACTCCTTTGCAATCGTTCGGCGGTGGGCGGGTTTCCTTTTTATGCTAACAAGCCGTGCAACACTATGGTCAGTCTGTAAACGAATCGGATGTCTTTGTTGTCGGGACCAGTGTAGCCTGTTAATAGGTCACACTGAAACCTAGAGAGCGATCAAGTTTTGGGGACACTTTGGCTGACTACGAGCTAGTAGGCCCCATTGCCACTGAATGTAGATTCAATAACAATCGGACTAAAGTACGAGAGGGCGTGCATTTATCGTAGCGGAAAGTGGGACGCATAAAAGAGCCAAACTGGTGACCAGAGCGGAATAGATAACGACTACATGGGCAATGTTCGGGTTGGGTGAGAGCCAGACGAGACAAGGAATCTTACACCAACACCCGACGGTACTAATTTCTTGGTGTTCTGGCATCTTCCTTTAATGGCGTTACTCTCTAAGGACATAATTACACGTCAGTGATTCAAAAATTAGGCACACAAACTTTGATAGCTCATGAATTACAAACCGTAGGGAAATTGACAACATTTTAATGGGTAATTGAACAAACTGTAAATCCCTTTGTCGAATGACAACGGTGTTTACTGATCCAGTCGAGGTCCTGGACAGAAATTGGCATTTACTTTTGCTTTAGAGCTCGATCTACATCTCACTTTTACCGATGGGTAAAGACAAGTAATCGTTAACTCAGGAGTGTTGCCAGTAGCTCAAAAGCGTTGGACTGAAGGGTTTAATGATTTACTGGAACTGAAAAGGGGGCGGTGCGCCAGCCCGGTAGCCAATTAACGAATGTGGCAAGATATGTCTCTGATAGTGTCCGGAAACACCGAGGTATCTTACCAGCATAAAGGTGATGGCTTGAGGCAAAAGTATCACCGCATACAATTGCTCCGCTGTCCTTGTCTGGCCTTTTTCTCATCATAAAGTTTCAAACCGTCCGACTCGGCATTCGATCTCCTGATCCTGCAAACACACGCTGGTGTCGCAGACGGTCCGGCTACATGTAGGCCGCTTTAGAAAACGTCCATTTATGTACAGTAGGCATGCTAAGTCATGAAATGTTGGCCGATATTCTGAAATGCGCTTCCGACTCAGAAAGATTACTTAAGTAGGATTGTAATATTACTCACCGTGCAGCATAATTCTATAATAAATCAGCTACCTCGAGATGCCGGCTTTCCAACGAACTCCTTTCCGCCTCATGCGAAAACCACACTCTGCAAAAAGTGACTACTTAAGTAGCATGAATTTTTCTCATTGATTTTCGACGCCCTCAAAAATTGAGTTATATTTCATGGAAAACGTACACAAAAATATTCATTCTTTTACTTATTCGGTAGCAAATGACGTCTTCTTGCAACTTTATACTCGGAGGAAGGGCATAATTGGGTTTTCAAAAACTTTTACAATTCCCGAATAATTTTGAACCCCACCTGCTGTTACACTTGCGTTCAGGGTTTCAAAACTACATGCCGTATATTTTCCGCGAACGGAAAACCATACATTTCTCAACGGTATTAAGAGGCGACCACACGGGCTTCAAAAATGTAGCAGTGGGTTTGAGTCATGGTGAAAACTTTACAAGCAACATTTGTAAATGCAGAGACGCGATGTTTCATGAATAGGCATTTCACGGTATCAAAAAACTCGCAATTAAAAACTTTTTGAAAACCAAATCATACCCTTCCTTCGAGTATAACATTGGAAGAAGACGTCATTTTTCACCGAATGAGTAAAATAATGAGTATTTTTGAGCGTTTTTTACGAAATATATTTGAAAGTCCGTTGACAATGTGGACACAATGGAAGGCACCGGGTGCTCATGTAGTTCGACCGCGACGCTCCGGTCCCGCCATCCACTGTTCTCGCCTACATCGCCGCTAGTTGGTTGGCTTCGAGGATGTCTGCTCCAGTCTTTACGGCAGTTCGGCACACCTACCGATTCTGTTCGAGGTTTCCGCAGGCCTTAGTGTTGAGGTGCATATGCTTGATGGAGGTCTTCAAGGACGCTTTTTTCCGCCTTGTCCGCGAGCATCCGTAGCCACGTCGTCAAAGAACCGCTTGAGTAGCGCTTCTCAATCATCCTCAAGATGTAGTCACTCCGTCGCAATTTATCTGCCTTAACCTGGCGTGAATATTGAAGACGCCGGTTCTTTCAATAATTTCAGTGCCACTGATCCCTTTCCACCATTTCAAATTCCAGTATTCCTCGGAGGCACCCAAGGTGAAGATGGTTGAGTCTCCTTTTTTAGCTTTCATATGAAGTCCAAGTCTCTGCCTCGTGCAAGAGCTCAGTCAGAGCAACAACCCTGTAGTCCTTTGTGTCGTATTGTGGGGGCTGACGAGGCAATTCGTAACGAACTGTAGCAGCCCATTAAAGGCCTGGCCGACTTTGGAAATTCAATAAGCGATTTTGTTTTTGATCATGACGTTTCTTTTTATGGCGCATCCAAGGCACACGAGTTTGTCCACTGATATGAGCGAGTTCCGTTGACACTTATTAGGATCTCGTTGCAATCATCGTCTGGCAACAGTTGATGGATTACCACTGTCTCCTATGTGTTAACTGTTGATCAAAGCGTTGGGAGACCGGAGGCAAAAAGGTAAACGCCTCGCAACATATCCTGTCGTGGTATTTAGCGTTCAGTCATCTGCAAAAAAGAGGCCGTGGACATGAAAACTCGCGTCGGTGCCAGTACGCGCCGGCTCCTGAGCAGGTGTGCGTCATGACTGTCCGATGATTTTAGGAAAACACACAGTAGGTGTGCTAACTCATGAAATGTTGGCCGAAATTCTTAAATGCGCTTCCGATTCGAAAGGATTACTTAAGTGGGGTAGTAATAGTTATCACCGTGCAGCATAGACCTAAGATATTGCAGTTACTTCGGGATGCCGGCCTTTGAACTAGCTTCTTTCCATCTGCCTGCAAACATAAAACTCTGTGAAAAACGACTACTTTAGTAGCATGCATTTTTCGCATTGATTTTCGATGTCCTTATAAATTCAAATAGATTTCGTAGAAAAAACGCATAAAAATACTCAGTATTTTACTTGTTTGATAGAAAATTACGTTTTCCTCAAATTTTATACTTGAAGGAAGGGTATCATTCTGTTTTAAAAAAGGTTCTAATTATGGATTTTTTAAGACCGCGAAATGCCCGTTCATAAACCATCGTGCCTCTGCATTTACTGATGTTGCTTATAAAGTTTAAAATGTAGCTCAAACTCACTGTAAAATTTTATGAACTCCATATAGTCTCCTCTCAAAAGCGCACAGAAATGTATGATTGTCCGTACACGGTAAATATACAGCTTGTAAGTTGGAAACCCTGAATGCAAGCGTAACGGCAGGTCGGGTTCAAATTTATTTGGAAATTGAAAACGTTTTTAACATAATTATACCCTTTCTTCAGGTATAACACTGGAAGAAGACGTCATTTTTCACCGAATGAGTAACGTAATGAGTGTTTTATGCATTTTTAATAGGAAATATAATTGAATTTATGAGGATATCGAAAATCAATGAGAAAATGCATACCACTTAAGTGGTCGTTTTTCGCAGAGTTCAGTGTTCGCAAGCAGACGGAAAGAAGTCTGCTCAAAGGCTGGCATCCCGAAGTAACTGAAATTTCTTGGGAGTATGCTGCATGGTGATAACTATTATAACTCTACTTAAGTAATCTTTTTGAGTCGGAAGCGCATTTCAGAATTTCAGCCAACATTTCATGAGTTATGACATCTACTGTATAAGGCAGTTTAATGTGAAGGTACGTTTTCGATGGATAATCGTCAGACCTGTCACAATGATGTACGCTAAGAATTCGAACCAATGAAAAAACCGATGGCGTATAAGGCGCATGTTAATTCACACAACAGCATTATCGGGGGAGACGCGCGGCGAGGATTTAAACGAAGTTTTTATCCTGTATTTTTAGTTTCAAAACGATTGCTTACTGAAAACAAAAGAACTGTTTACCGAGTTTACTATAAGGGCCCATCATCTTGACCTGAAAATGTTATTAAGGTACAAAAGAGGTCTAACACTCGAATATGTATGCATTTTGTCAATTTGACAGATCGTATTTCCCTTCACTTTGTCCGGTTTTTGTTGAGAACCTTGCAGGCAGCATCAATTTAGATTTTCTTTGTACCGGTAGCAACACTTCGAGGAGCTTGGACATTTGCCGGCAACTCCATTCCGGCTGGCTGGTCTCCTTTATATGGTGCACACAGCCACTTATTATAGGCAGCTGCAGTTTCTCACTGGCGACTGGTGTAGGCGTATTTATATATCGGTAATCCGTTGTTCGAGCAAATTCAGGTTCGACTTACGCACGCTGTCCAACATTTCAAGTTATGTAATTCACATCATAGAGTTCGGTTTTGGAAATTCATTAAATAGTTCTTTTACTCTCAACAAGAACTCTTTAGCTGACAATGTATACGCCTGTGAAAAAAGTATCAACCAGCTAGTGGCAAACGAGCGGTTGCGAAAAGTGCTAGTACATATCGAAGTGGTTAAACGGAAGTTCACGAAACTGGCTTCATTCCATTTTCAGTCGTCTAGCCGTTGATGCAGGACTACATTTAGGTCTTACTAGGTGGTTCTACTTGCGATTGTACTTCTTGATCGGACCAACAAATTACGTATAGGCGCGTTGAGTGTTAATATCAAACACTAAAAGTAGCCGCATTTGGCGTTACGTCGCTCTTGGCATCAGACACGCAAGCGCCAGCAGTAAAATTCATCGAATACTGAAAGCAGGTAAGACGTTGGGGATGAATTTATACATAACCATTTGGCAGAACTATTAAAACACGGCTTACGATCAAGACAGGTTCGTGTCTTATTCAAATTCATCGATGAAGCCGTCTGACAGAGGCTCTAATGGAAGATGTTTATTTTTTATGCTCCAAAATTCCGGACTCCAAATGTGGATAACAATTCTCCTATCACGAAAAAAGCTTGTAAGTCGGCAGGGCACAATCCCTCTTTCGAAATTCCTCCTCGACGAAACGAATGCCAGTGGAAGGGCGGAAGAAATTGGAAAGTCTGACGTTTTATGGAGAATTTGTAGGCTACATTAACTCGGATCGAATGCACAGATCGCTACGGTTAAGGTCTAAACTAAGCGAACGCGCACGCAACGATGGCACAAACTGATGCATGAGACGGACCAAGGTTTGAGACGCAGAACAAGAAGCAATAAGTCATACTGGACGGATGTCGACGGAAAAGAAATACTTGGACAGCCAACCGGCCTGTGAAATTGAGGTATCTCCAAAGTTGGGTTATAGCGAGCAAGTAGTGCAAAGCGAAGGCATGAACGAGTTAACCCGTTCAAAGAAATACACATGCAGGTGATAGTTATCACAACAAGTGCGTACAGTTGCACGCGGATAAAAGAGGAACGGAGAAGGTCAAAGAGCACAACTCATTTTGAACGAGGTGTAGCATCCCAAGAATCATTTAAATACACCTTGATCAGGAATACACTGTCGATATATACATATCTATGCAGGCAATGGGCTAGTGACAAAGATAAGAGAACCGGGATGGCCATTTCCGGCTCACTAGGCGCTGTCAGCCAGCCATACCTAACCGTGGGTTTGCTGGACTTGGGGTTCGAGCCCTGGATCTTTGATAATTGGGCGTGAGGTAGGCCGGCGATCTGCCATTGAACCACGGGCTCGTTGTCCTATCAGTTGTGAGTGGGAATATAGTGTCGTGCACTGACTAGGCGACGACAGATAAACAAGAAGTGGCCATCCCAGTCTTTGTTGAAGCTCCATTCTGCATCGTTACAGGGTCGCTATGTAGATGCCTGCGAATGTTCTAGATTGATCAACGCAGTGTAACTGGACGGGCATGTTCCGTAACCTGATTAGTGAATGACCTTTCCACATGCACGGCCTTATCAAATGATAACCGGGCAATCGTCGACTTACCTAAAAAACCAGGTGGCCCGCCGAACTTCATTACGCTCCTCCTCCCAGTACACCGCTTTGCACTGACGTTCCCGCAGCAGGACATCATAACGTCCCCCGCGAACTGACAAACTGATAGGTGGCTGCGAACCCTCCTCTGCGTTGATTGACGTTATCACTTGACGCGGACCCAGAAGGTCCATACTTGAGGCTAAGGCCTCCAGTCTGTTAGAGTCCCACCGATCGAAGGGCCACCAAACAAGCATTGAGTTCATTTTGCTGGCGTAGAACCAGTGTGCAGGCACGGGCTGATAAGGGTTCGCTGCGAAAGGTCAACAAACGGGCTTGGATAAGTTAAGTCAACGATTTGCTGGGCAATTGATCACAGAGAAAATGACATCTTACATGTTACCTGCGATTTGCAAAAAAAACATGATAGAATAGCACGCAATATTAGAAATGCTCAAAACTAGGTTTGCGGCAGTGGAGAATTCACTTTTTCTTATTTTTATGCTCATATTCGTCACGAAGGGGACCAGATAAGGAAGTCTTAGGCAGGTCAACAGCGATTTGTGATAACCCGGTCTCATAGGTTTGCTCAAAAAATGTCAGCAACCATTCTGCAAACTAAAAGTTTCTCACAACAAAAGCGTTTCGTTATGTACATATATCGATAATTTCCACTCATGAACAGAAGGAATCAACCGTTCATCTACATAAAAGGTTCTGAGTTACAACAGTAGTTAAATTAATGAGCAAAGAATTACAGACTTGCACTTACTTAGAATCTGTGGTTCGGGTGATGAATATAACTGAGGTGGAAACTGCTCACTAGTTGTACTTGGTTCAACCATTTCAGAGAACGCCGAAGTGGAAGGAATGCTGCTCGTCAGTGGGGAGGGTGTGGGAATGGCTGGCAGATTACCCGTAGCTTTTGACTTAATAGTCGGCTGCGGAATCCCAGAGCCAGAAGTAGAACAAATTTGAGGGGGTAAAACGTAACGAGAGCGCAGTTGCCCGACTGGGCGCTAAAATGATAATATTTAAAAATAAACGAGGTTGATACGATGCCAATGACCGAAACCCGGCAAGGCAGCAATAGAAGCTACAGGCACACGTGTGCTTATTTGTTTAAGAGGCCAGTGACATAGCGAAAACCAGCTACCGGATGGAACAAACGTGGGATAGTAAAAGCAGTCCTAAACTTCCAATGTCAATGGGCCAAACTCTTTATGGATGAAATATAGACGAAAAATACGAGTAGTGACCCTTTCCAAGGAGCCCGACCGGACCGCCCGGAGTTGTTATTAGTGACGGGATCGGATCAACTATGGGGCCAGAAGTCTTGCCCTGGGTCCAAAGTAAAGTGATGTGTTAAAAGCACGACCATTTCGGTCTGTCTGACATGACGTGACTTCAAAGATGACGAAGACTCATTAGCCACGAACGTCAGGCTTTAAATAATAAGGTCGCTGCTGACGATAAGGGATATTTAAATGGCTCATTCGCAATGAGTGCCAGAGTTTGGCAAAAATACTTTTTTCCGTTGTGTCAAGGATGTCTCACTCGTAACACAGTAAATAAATTACGTCCAAATGCTTTAAGTAAAATTGACTCCGATTTATATAGCTAGTAAAAACACATTAACAGAACCTCAAGAGTTGTGGAGTTATGAGCCGGAAGCCACATCTTCACTGAAGATGTTCTCCATTACCAAAACACTAACGTACAGGAGAACAAGATAGATAGGTGCCAAAAAGAAAAAAATACTTGTTCAAATAGTCCGAGGTTCACGACGAATTCTGCGTGATGCTGTGAATAATCGTTCTATTCTAGTCGGTAAAAATCATCGCTAAAAAACACACAATTTAGAGCATTCTGGCGTCTGGCTTGCTCAATGCCTTCATCAAGTAATCTGTTAATGGAAAAAAACTAGCGAACATCGACTAGATGACTTAATAAAAACACAAGTTAAACTTTCCATGGGGGACGCAAAGAAATTCTTTCGGCTTCCGGTTTTGCTACGAAAGTTTGCATGGACGGAGGTGCCGAATAAAGTGCTAGCAAAACAGGGTCCGCATCCAAGTCTCCAAAATAGAACAGCTGTTCTTCTAGTGTTTGTACAAATAGCAAATTTTTGGAAAAAACAGAAAGTGTATTTTAAAACGAACTGCAAGAGCACTTGCTTGTATAGGAGGGGCTTGTTCAGGTAATATAGATAAGGCCTCTGTTGGCTTGATCTCGCCAATGAATGCGGACTCATCTTTAGCAGAGACCGGTGGCGGTGGAGGTACCAAGCTGGGGCCGGCAGGAAGGCTCACTTGATCAAAGTTTAAGTTTAAACTCGTGCCCGAATCAATCTTTTGAGGTCTAGGGAAACTCATTTTGCGACTGGGCCCAAAATCGACCACGTACAGAGGAAGTGCACAAGAAGGCTAACTGTCCGATCTGTAGGTCATTAAGGGTTCAAGGCTTTAAAACTGTTCGTGGAGTATGTAGCATTAATTCAATGCAGCAATAACTGACTCCTTATACACCCTTTTCAAGAATCACGTAGAGTACTCAGTACAGAGTCGAAACTATGTCTTTTGTCAGGCATCGGGAATCGATAGAGTTGGACGGGGATGAAACAGTGTGCGCAAATGGAGGTTAAAATTCACTCCAAGAAAAACTGGCGTTATAAAGAATGAAAATACAATGAAAAGCCACAATCGGAGGCACAAAAAAGAATACTAACAAATCAATGATTATGTGCGCAAACAAAAATCAAAGCCGAACACTGTAGCAATTAGTTTTTTCCCAAATGCCAATTTGTGCAAATTAACAGGACTTTTGGCTGGTTCAAAATAGTTCATTTTTGCCCAGCTATGACAGACTTGGCGACCTTTGTGGATCAAAAAGAGCTATACACCATTTTTTGAAATAGTTATTATCTACGTGAGCCTGGTAGTCATGTGGGGAATTTTAAATGGACTACTTAGAATATCCTGCTTCGGCAGATAGCTTACTGCGCCAGATTTGGTAGAATCCAGATTTTACGGTAGGCATGACTGGTAACTTGACGCAAATATGACTTAATTCCGGGTTCCGGAGTGCGACCTCATAGCGCAGTTGGCCAGAGGGTTGGCTGTACCAAACCCTTCCCCTTGATGTCGTGGATTTGAACCCCACCGATGTCGTCGAGTTTTTCACGGATGGTCAAAACGGATATGTACGAAACTGCTTCCTAATCTTTGATAAGATGTAAGTTGTCGTTTGTAGGCCGTGTGCGAGCTGATGGGACGACTTCGCATCGTCGTTTTTAATTTCACGAACCATCTTTTTGATCTCAATGTTGACATCAGGCGACAATCTTCAAGTCAAGGAGGAAGTCCAAATTACCCTGGTGGGTTGCGTGGTTCAAGCAGAGTGACGCCGGACTTTTCAAAGTTTGTTACGAAGTCTTTAGTATGTGGGCTATGGTAATGACAAATATTCAAATGTGGTTGAACATGTGTTTTAGGGACGGAGGGATTTCTGGAAGTTGCCTTAGCACCAACACGCGCGCGGTTTGAATTTTGAGGAGCAAGGAGGACAGTTTCAATCGAGTTCCTCACTGGAAACAGTTGGTCCGGCATCAGAAATTGGATTCTCAAACGCATTGTTGCCCCCTACCCTCAACCTTGCTGTCATCGTTGCCCTCATCGTACGACTAGGACACTTTTCTGCAATTGCTGGCAATCTGAGCGTAACCAACACAATCTACAAATCCTTCATATCGTCTCGAATTGTCCACCGTACCTTGGGAACAGGACCTACTAAAGGCTGAGTTGATAATTTCTACACTGCTTGTTGAGCTGCTTAGATTTGTATTCCTGGCATATTACCAAAATGTCATGGTTAAAAAGACCTCCAGGCCTTGCATTCTTGAGATTCTCCGACAAACCCAACCATACACGCAGTTTTCCCTATTTGGCCCTAGGCGACGTTTTTTTTCTTCCATTCCTGTGGCCTGCTCCTTTTCCATAACTTCACGGCATGACTGAAGTACGCACTGACGTCCGCAAAATGGGGTCGGGGTGTGAAATCGATCCAACGATCACCCCTTGCTTAGTCAATTGCGCTAACCCCTACGCCACCGCAGCACGTCGGCGAGCGGTATCACATAGTCTACTTGACTGTATGGACGCAGAAAATGCAGGACAAAGCTGCAATGGATGCCAGATTCTAGCCGCCAAGGTCAACTATCTTGAGGAAGAAATCACAAAGATAAAAGCCCAGTTGCGATGCAGTCTAGACGAAGCTAACGCTAGCACTTTGCCTACTGGACGAGTAACCAGAAGTAGGACAAAAGCTCCCAGCATAAGAGGCACGCCAGCACCTATTACAGCGGCCCCAGAAGGAATAGCTAAAAAGCGAGAAAATAACGACCAGAAAGGCAACCCAAAAACTGAAGAGAAAAAAAAATCCAACTGTAAAATGGCCGAGAAAAACGGACGGCTATTTCCGGAAGATGCATCTTTAGCGGCCGAAGCAGAGACATTGACAGAGGCTCCGCCCCTCATGAGAAATGCTGTGTGTTCAAACACCTTTGCTGACTCTCAGAAACAGTCCGAGCTTGATAGACCTAGTACGAGCGGTGGAATCGATTCATCCATCACAGCCACAGATTTCTCTCCGCAGTCTTCTCCGCCAAGTACTTCTTCCAAGATTGTCAACATAAGAGTCAAACAAACAGACGGCGTAAGAACATCTGCTCCACCATCACCAGCGCGTAGTCCCAGAGCGTTACGTCATTTAGGGAACCACAATTCCGTAGAAAATAAAAAAGAGACCGACAGAGAACAATGTCTTATTATTCAGGGGCTCCCTGAATCAAGTGCAATTACTCCCAAGGATCGAATTTCGGACGACCTATCACTCTTCCAAGGTCTTCTCAATAATATTTTGGAACCCACGGAGGCTATTGAAGTGATCAAAGCCTTCCGCCTTGGAAAACGAGCAGATAATCCATCAATGTTCACTCGACCCCGGCCTCTTAAAGTTGTGCTGACCAGCAGCGACCAAGCCAGTCTCATTTACTCCAGGCGGTTCAGGATTAAAGGCTCCAACCCCGGTGTTTTTTTTCAACCGGACTACTCGCCAGCCGAACGGCTCAAGCGTCTTCAGCTGGTTCTAGAACTAAGAAAGAGGCTCAGCGAGGGGGAGAACAATTTAGTAATATACAACAACCAAGTACGGCGGCGTCCGTCACTCTTCCTTTGGACAGGTCCTGTCCGAATGACCGCGCAGCCGACATATTAAGTGAAGGCGCTAACCCAAATGTAACCACATCTTCCGTCAGCCGGAAATTGAAATTCTTGTACACCAACGTGCAGAGTTTGATATCAAAGTTCGACGAGCTGAAGATCCACCTCTGCGACCTATCCCCTGACGTAATCTCTCTAACAGAAACCTGGTTGACCCAACACGTGGACGACCGTGAGCTGGCCTTGCCTGGCTACCAGATGTTTAGAAGGGATAGGGAAGGGCGTCAGGGAGGAGGCATACTAACGTATGTAAAAAATGGGCTAAATGTATCAGACAAGACAGATAACTTTTCGTGCAGTTCCGAGGCAATCTGGTTGTCTATTAAAGTGTCGAGCTCGCCTAGCCTCGATGTCCTGACAGTTTATCGACCGCCGAGACGGGACAACATGGCCGACGCTCGCCTGCTGGAGGAGCTCGAAAAGTTCGCTACGCGGCCGGATATCCTAAGCATGGGCGACTTTAACGCGCCCCATATTGACTGGAGCTCAACCCATGCAAATAGTTCAGAACAGACCTTCGATAGGAGTTTTCTGAACACGGCATTGAAGCTATTTCTCACTCAACACGTCATGTTACCAACTAGAGTACGCGAAGGCCAACAAGCCAACTGCCTTGATCTTGTCCTTACGAAGTCACAGGACAGCATTGATGAGGTGTCATGCCTACCCCCCTTAGGTAAAAGTGACCACTTCGTTCTTCTATGGGATTACTCGCTTTTTTCCATGCCCAAGAAACCCGGGACAGTTAGAAGAAACCTTTGACGCGGGGATTTCGACCAAATGAGGGCTGAAATTTTACGCATTGAGTGGGAGTCCATATTTGTTGGGAGCATACTCGAAGACTGGCAACGGTTCCGAGAAATTCCGCACGAGCTGATCGTACACCACTGTCCGCTTTCACGGAAGAGGTTAACGAACAGACCTCGATGGCTTACGCAAGCCTTGAAGAATGAAGTGAATAAAAAACGACGGCTGTGGTTAAAATCGCTTTCTGACAGGAGCCCCACATCTATATGCGCGTACAAAATTCAAAGAAATCGAGTCAAGGGCCTTATCCTCAAAACTAGAAAGGAATTCGAACGGGATCTGCTTAACCGTGCCGCGGAGAACCCTAAATTATTCTACGGTTTCATTTGGCAGTGCACGCGGAACAAGGACCCAATACCCCTGATAAGGACTGCTGAAGGCGAACATCTCACTGACGACAGGGCGAAAGCTGATCACCTTTCAGAATTTTTTCGGTCTGTTTTTAGTAGCGAAACAGGATTCAACCCTTCGGTTTTTCAATCCTTCGAAGACACCCCAATTATAGAGACCGTCCAGTTCACTGAGGGTATGGTTCTGACGGAGTTGCTGAGGCTAAAGGAATCCAAATCACCAGGTCCCGATGAGATTCCGGCGAAGATTTTGAAGGAACTCGCCGGTGAGTTGCCTAAGCCACTCGCCATGCTTTTCCATACATCCTTCGAGACCGGATATCTGCAACCCGACTGGAAGTCGGCGTGGATTACACCGCTGTACAAGGGCGGAAGTCGGGTTTCTGCGAACAATTACAGACCGGTCAGCCTCACCTCCATTTGCTGTAAGATTATGAAGAAGATAATAAAGCAACAACTAATGCAGTTCCTTGAACAAAACCATTTGCTTTCCGATTCTCAGCATGGATTCCGAAAAGGCAGATCCTGTGTGACAAACCTGCTCTACTGTCTGGAACACTGGACTAGGGCTGTTGATAGAGGAGATATGGTGCGTGCCATCTATATCGACTTTAAAAAGGCCTTAGATAGTGTGCCTCACCACCGCCTTCTATACATACTTAGCCGTGCAGGAGTGCGGGGTAAGCTTCTGATGTGGATTCGGAGCTTTTTAATCGGCCGCTCTCAAGCCGTCCACGTCGGTGACCAACAATCTGCCGAGGTTGCCGTTAAGAGTGGTGTTCCCCAAGGCTCCGTTCTTGGCCCTACGCTGTTCCTCGTATACGTCAATGACTGCGCAAACGAACTGAATTGCGATGTCGCAATGTTTGCCGATGACATAAAGATCTGGAGTACCATACGAAGCGAAGTTGACGAGGCGCGACTGCAGACAAGTCTGGA